AGACCACTGTGAAATCCTCGAAACGCGGAGGTGTGGACTTTGCAGTCTCCGCACTTGGAAGTACGTACAGCGTTTGCAGTCTCCAAACTTCGAGTGTGGAGTTCTTCACGTTTGCGCCATGGCAAGAAATGGGCTCTGCGAGCTACTCCACCATGGAAGTGCAGAGATTGCAACTCCACACGTACTCGGACGCCCGAGTTACACTACACTCTAAAAGTCTTATGGTGAAGACCTCTGAAAGCTGCGAAGACTTATTCCGACGTTCTGTTGTAGAACTCAAGCCATCAATATCAGATCAAGTTTTCAGAATGTCCGCTTTCAGAGGTGCGCGAATTTTTATCAGGGTTTCAGACATGCTGACAAATTTTACACGAGTGTAACCACCTACATGCAGCAGGGTGTGGGGCTGAGAACGCCGGCGGGGTGGTGTGCTAATTGTTTTGGCTGGGCGTGCGGCGTTGTCCACAGCAGAGGCGGACTGATTACAGGATCCCTTTGATCGCGAGCGAAGCGCCAACGGGGTAATGCTCTTTGAGTGCGTGCGCGCGCGCGTGTGGATGAATGCGGGGAATAGTTTTTCCTGGACTGTCCCTCTGCCACGTCCGGTCCGTGCTGTGCGCTCCGGCGATTCCGCCGGGGCCCCGCACTCCTCGCTCTATCTCCCTCGCACCCATTCGGCCTGATGGGGCGAGTGGCGTGAGTGCGAGAGAGACAGAGCAGCGCGGAGTCACTGAGCCAGCGCAGCGCCCGGCAGCGCCTGTCGCCAAACCGCACGCACCACGGGGACGCCGGACGGCGCGGCGTGACTGGGCATGACTGGCGGGGCAGGTGCGGTGGGCGCGGCGGAGGAAGGGGGCTGGCATGCCCCTGCAGGGGCCGCGAGGGGAAGGGGGAGGGGGGAGGCCCAGACAATGGGGCGGCACTATCTCAGCGTGTAGTGGCAAGACTGCAGACTTACGCCAATCCCCCGCGCGCACAATGCGGGGGTAAATTTAACTCGGTTTGTCGCGCGGCGGGGAGGGGCGGGGAGGGGGCGGCGTAGGGGTGGCTTCGCGGTCGCTCTAAAACGGTTGAAACACGGTTCGGCAGCTGCGCCCCGCCACCCCTCCACCCCGCCGCCCCGCCGCCCCGCCGCCCCGCCACGTCGCATGCCTTCTTGGTGCTCCTCGGTCGAGTACTCGGTGCTACAATGTAAAGCGGCGCGACGTCGCAAGACGCAGACAGCTAATGGACTGTCGCGGTTTTCGATCGGAATGTCACATCCTGACGTCTTAACTTCTCTTTTTGGCCGCTCGGTTCCCGCGGGACGCGGAGCGGCAAAGTGTCGAATAAAGTTTGGGATGCCCCGGCCGAGACACTTCAAACTTCAACTTCAAGGCAATCTCAGGCATTGAGGGGAAATGAGAGCGGCGGTGCCTCGGTGGCAGGACAGCGGCAAGGCGGGCGGCTAGGACCGTGGTGGCATCGGTGGCATCATGGTGGCATGCGCCCAACTCCCCGTTGACGAATGCTGCGCGCTCCATCATTTCTCTAATAAAGGCACGCGGCCCGCGCCGCCCCGGCCGCCGCGTTCCGAGTCGCTGTCATTCATAAGAGAGACGCGAAACTTCCAATAAAAAGGTCCGACGCGGCTTCCACAGCGACACGCAGACGTCCTCCAATCAGCTGTCGCGACCCGAACCTCCAAACCACGAACCCTCCCAACATGAAACATCCGTCGCGGCCGCGGCCCTGGCGCCGCCCATAAAGCGTCCACGCCACGTTATTGTTTTCGTTTTGGGGCCGTTTTTAATCGTTTTCCTTCGCGCGCGGCGACAGCGGCGCGGCGCGCGGCCGACTAGTAGAGAGATGATGGAAGGCAACGACGCTTACAAATATGTCACGGCGCTTCATATTTTTCACGACGGCTCGACGCGACACGCGCGCTTCGAGGGGACGCCTCGGGAGACGCACGGCGGCGGCGGGGTCGTCTCGCCGTGCGTTCGTCGCTCTGTCTCTCTCTTACGTCGCGCGGCGTCCGTAGTGGGTTCGAGAGAGGCGGCGGAGTGCTGTTCGAAATCAGCCTGCTGGTGGAGGGTACGGGGTGGCGTGGTGGCTGCCGGGGCGTGGCGGGACGAAGCGTGGTGGGGCGTGGCCGGGGTCACCGCGATATTTGTGTATCTAGGCGCCTTGTTTCACGCCCCGTTTGTGATCCCCACCACTGCACTACGGAGTCCCTCGCTGCGTCCTTGACGTGCACGGCACTGCAGTTGGTCCTGCAACCGACTGCATGACGTCATCGTGCACCAATCAGACGCCGAGTTGGCGCCTACAGACCAGTGGAAACGTCGGACGGTCCAGTGCCTACGTCCGGAAGTTCGTCCGCGGGACGGCCTGAGTTATCGGAGTCGCTCCCCTAACAAGCGAAGCGACCCAACTTTTACTGTGCGAAATAGCGCGAAACGCACGGCAGCGTTCGTCTGCCCGGAACGCGCTGCGACGCTGCACACTGATTCCGAGAGTTGTTTTCGTCGCCCTGTCTCTCTTGCGACTGTGCGGGACGCTCCGTGAGTGCGAGAGAGACAGAGCGACGAGAGCGACTACTCGGAATCAGCGGCGCTACGCTGCTGCCGGCGGAAAGTAATCCCTCTAATGAAGGCAAGGCGGCTCACCGAGTGACGTCGCGTCGCGTAGTCGCGTCGCAGAGCGCGTCGCGCTGCCGGTGACTCCACTGGCATGAGAAAGGGGGAAGGGGCGCCCCCCGCCCCGCCCCGCCCCGCCCCGCCCCGCTCGCCGCTGTTGTTCTGTTTCTGTCGCGGCGTTGTCTCGCGGGCTGGGGTCACTTTATTTTTACTCTCACACACTCACACACGTACGCCGGCCCCACTCCCACACAGGCACTCAACTACAACAGCGACAACTGCACCTGATCTCGGTCCCCCCCCCTCCCCATTCCCCCTGCCCTCGCGCCCACTGCAAAATTAGTCTGGGGCAGGACGGAAGGACGCCGTCGTGTTTTTCTTTTCCACCGTTTCGTTTGTCCAGTTCGTCCCGTCTAGCACAGAGCGCAATTGCTGCGGGCCCTGCGGGCTGCAAAGAGAGTAAGTACAGTATACGCAGTGTGCACGCGGCGTGAGGCGGAGACAGCGACACACGCATGCCCACCGAAACACACTCATGCACGCATTAGGAGACACGCACACACACACCTGCGCCAAGAACCGTGCACACACTCTCAGCGATAAGTCACGCGAGGCACCATTAATTAAAGGAAATTAGATGCCAGACGCACAAAAGGAATCCCTCTCACTTCCGCCGCCGTGCCGCGCGCCGCGCGCGGGCTTCCGAGCCGTCGCGGTGCGCAGCGGCGACGCCGTCCTCGACGCCGTCCTCGACGCCGTCCTCGACGCCGTCCTCGACGCCGCCGGCCCGTTCTTCGGCCAGCTCAGCGCGAGTGCGAGCGAGACGGGGAGACAGAACCGGAAGCTCCTGGCCCTGACCCTGCCCCTGGCCGCGCCGCCCGGATGCCACAGATTTTTGGCGGGCATTGTGTGATCTCTGTCTGGCCGACACGCCTCACGCGCCCACCTGCGCACCTGCCGGGCGTCCAGTGCCTCGACCAGCCCGAGGAGGGCCAGCCTGCAGGTGGCCGCCGAGCAGCGGCAGCGCCATGGGCCATGCCGCATGGCAGCGCTTCTCAACTTCCGAGTGCCGGGGGATTGTTTCCGCTGCTGTAATTTCATGTCGGCATTATTTTATTTTTGTTTGGATCCTGATGGAGAGTGGGGCGATTAGGAGAGCTCTGTTTCCGCCGACGGCGCCGACGGCCAGGTGAGTCACTTTGGAGCACCCACGCGGCACGCGGCGCCAGTGAGTGCTGGGAGCGAGTCAGCCTCTTCCTTCCCGCCACACACGACACGTCATTCCCATCCATCACGGACACGCCCAAATCTCGGAACCGCTGCCAATAATAAAAGGACAGGCCGCATTACAGTGGTTTGAACGCGGATCGCCGTTCGACAAATTTCCAAACGAACGTGGCTTGATTCGCATTTCTGACGAACGTGACGGCGCGTGCAGGCCGCCGTGGCGCGACACGTACAGCGCCTCGTAGGTAGGCCACCCAACAGGCGCCTACCCTTAAACCTCCAACGACTTGACTTTGTCGAAGGTTTGCAACGCGTTTCGCGAATACTTACATTGTCCAATTTTTAGCGTCATCTCCATTGCATGTTCGCACCTCACATGAGTGAGGCAAGGGATGGACGCGTGGAGTTTGCAGTCTCCAAGTGTGGGTGGAGTGGCTCACAGAGCCCGTATACCTTGGCACGGCGCAAACGTGGAGAACTCCACGCTTGAAGTGCAGGGGACTGCACAGAGCTGCCAGTCTGGTGTGGCGCCCAGTGACGCCTCGAAAGTCGCCAAAAGTTACCAAGATGCGCAAGCGTTGAAAGGATTGTCTAACTCATGCAAAGCACCAAGACTTTGCTCTCAATCAGTTATCCAGCATGGGTAGCCAAAGCTCAAGTTGCCAACCCTTTCTACACCGGGGTACAGTATCGTGGTATTTTTCAGCTCTTTGTTGAGGCAACAGCACCGCGTGGCGCTGCGGGGCTGCGGCGAGGGCTGCGGACGGCTGCCGAGAGCCGGAGACGCCCGTCGGCTCTGCGGGTAGGCAACACGCTGGACTCGGGAGCGCGTCGGGATGCCTGGCCGCCGAACACAGGCGCTCTCCAGTCTCAAGTAGATTCCTAGAGTCTCAAGAGAATTGCTGTGCCAAACACATCCCAACTCTCAAAAAAAAAAAAAAAAAAAACATAACATCAAGTTAAGATAGTGTCTCGGAGGCCGTGCGAGTAAGGATGGCTTTTGTAAGAGGGGTCGATATCTGTTCCCTCCTTCTCTGACACTCGTCAAGCAGAATATGTTAGCTGAGTGCTATTTCAGGAAATGCTTTCCAACTGATGTTAAAGACACAAACTAAAAAGAAAACCAAATTTTTAATTTTTAAATCAAACCAATTTTTTTATTGGTTTAATGGCACAGTTTTTTCAATCACACTCTACATAGCACAGAAACCAACACAACACACCAAAAAACTATAAGCAAAACAACAACAAAATACAAACACACACAGTTTGAAAAATCTTTAATATTAACATATAAAGGACTAGATGTAACTTTGGGAAAATGTTAACTTGTAAAATATGGCATTAGTGGAAATGATTTGAGAACCTTAGAGTAAAAGTCTAAGAGGCAGCCCCCTTCTTCAATTTTTTCCCAGAGGCAGTACAGGCCTTAGCTGCCAAATGATGAGTTAAATCAGCCTTGACCTTAAAGAATTTGTGGCATGGTGCACACACATATGGTTTGTCAGATTTGTGAATTGTAAGCATATGCTTCCGTAAATGACCCATTTGAGTGAACGCAGAAGGACAAAGCTGGCACTTGACTGGTTTTTCTCCAGTGTGAGTGAACATGTGAGTTTTAAGAGAAATTTGATGAGCAAAACTCGCATTGCAGGTTTTACATTGGAATGGCTTATCTCCAGTATGAATGCGCATGTGAACTTTAAGCTGAGAGCTTTGAACAAAGCTTTTCCCACATTCCTTACACTTGTGGTTTTTTTCTTTCATGTGCATCCGTAAATGAGACATAACATGACCTTTGATAGATTTCTTACAGATTGAACAACTGTAACTGAATTTGTTTTCATGAACGGATATTAAATGCTTCGTGAGCTCGTCTTTCCGAAGGAACTCTTTTCCACACTCATCACATTTATATTCCTTAATGCCAAAATGGGCTTTCATATGCAAATCTTTGTTGGCCTTGGTTCTGAACTTTCGATGGCAAATTTTACACTCAAATGGGCGAAGATCTTGGTGAATGCTCATATGCTGAACCAAACCTGCCTTACGAGCAAATGTCTTGGCACAATGTTTACATTCATAATTTTTTTGATTTTTGTGTACATTTATAATATGTTTCTGTAACTTCCTTTTTGTTGCAAACCTTTTTTGGCAACATTTACAAACATGATTCTTAGTTTTATCAATGGAATGCTCGGTCAAACAGTGGGTCTCCAGAGCCTTCATTTTATCAAACACAGCTTTGCACAAATTACACTTGTGAACAGTCAAATCTTTGTGAGATTTCAAATGCATGCCAAAGTCACTTTCTAGCTTGCAGGAGAAATCACAGTAAAAGCAAGAAAAATCTGAAGAGTCATTTTGTGTTTTCCTTCTAGAGGACTTGTTTTCATAATCAGGGTCGTCAACATCTTCATCATCTTCTTCCTCACTTTCATCTTCATCGTCTTCCTCATAGTCATCATCACCAGCATCGTCATTATTATCTTGATCTTCCAGATCCCCATCATTTTCCTCACTACTTTCATCAATTTCTTTAACTTGTTGAGAACTTACAGTTATTTGATCAAGAAGGTATTCATACCCAGAAAATTCGTCAGTTTCCTCTATCTCTTGATAGTCCCCGACTTCTTCCTTAATATTTATTTCTCCCTTAAGAGCCACCTCATAGAGGCGGTCAGGAGCAATATCTCCTTCTGCATCAGTAGATTTATAAACTGCATCTGCATCATCTTCAGATGAAGTTTCTTCTGCTGGCTCCTCTTTGATCGGCTGCTTGAGAGCTTTAGTTTGGAGGCGGCTGCTGGTTCGGGGCATTTCGAAGAAACTCTGCGAGATAAAATACAAAATACGATCGTGCAGTGGTAAATTAAGCTCGTTGTTATAGAAACTTGTGGAATAAAAGCAAAAATATTTTACCTGATAAGACAGACGCCGCAGCTACAACACAAGCAGACGCTAGCAGACGGAGCAGACGCCTCAGCGCACCGCCTTCCCGAACAACAACAACGGCCCCCTTTGTTTTTGTTTATGTTGAGCGTTACGTCTCTTTATCCTTTTGTTTACATGCCTCGGAGCTGCTCAGCCAATCCGCCATTCATAAGTATGTGAATTTTTCCTGTTTTCAGTCCAAAATCACAAATAATGTGTTCTCACGGCCTTTACACAGTCACCGTCCACCGTCCAACGTCGACGCAATGGCCGCAATATGGCGCCCATGATGGCCGCTCCCTCCACTTGGCACATGTAAATATTTCCAGAAGTGCCTTGAGACTTGTTGTCAACTGTGTGCTGTACTATCTGGATCTGATATGTCATCTACCCTGGTGAAGAAAGCGCTAGAACTCTTCGAGACTGACGCAGACAGCAAATCCCGTAAGAACACATGCTCGACCCGTCCCGTTAACCCTCTTGGCTCTCATGTCTTGTTGTCGTTGTCATGGCGTTTTATTTCCACAGAGCCACCCAAGAAATCCCAGCAGAATGAGTCTCGCAAGGATTTGAAAGCGCGCAAAAGGGCCCTGAAAAGATCTGATCGAGTTCTTGGTGGTAAGTTGAGCAATATGTTAACGACTCTTGTGTGCGATTAGCTAGGCTTTCAGTAACAATGCCTATGTTGTACAGATGTTAAGAGCAAAGCTGCCCTCCAAGTGGACGTAGCAAGAAGAATATCATCTGGAAACAAAGATCGAACCAATGAAAACCTCAAGGCCTTGATGGCTCTGGGAAGTGTGAAACCAGTTGATTTCAAGAAAGCAGAAAAGGTAGGTTTACTGTCACTGTTATTCTGCCTCGCGTACATTAGAAATAAGAAGCACTGTAAACACAGCCCAAGCTGTTGTTTATATGTTGGTTAATTAACGTTTATTTTTAACAAGTTTAGGCATGTTTAGATCTGTTTCCTGTGTTTCTTGCTGCTCCTCTTCCTCCTCCAACTCTGGTAGAAGTGTTTATTCATCCAATTTGCTTCTGTTCTAGATATTCAACCAAACTGTGAAGAGGAAGAGGCCTGTTGATGATACCGCCCCTCCTGCAGAGCCTTCAATGTTCTCTGAAGAGGACTTTAAGAAATTCGAGGAAGAGTACTTTGTTAATTCAAGTATCCATTAGTTCCACTGGCCTGGTTTCAAATTGAACTGTTTGGCATGAATGACAAAACTGTTGGATCTTTATTAATAGCTCTAAGTGCCTCTTTTAGTTTCTATTATTCAGTTTGGGTCTTGGGGTTGCCCTTTTTTGACTCTGATCATTTCATACATAGTTTGTTTCCAGCAGTTGAATTTGCTCTTTTGGTTCCTGCCCTGATGGGACTTACCTTTATTGGATCTCTAATAATTTTCTGCATTATTGAACTGAGAAAGGCTGGAGCAGCTTCCAAATAGAAGTGGAAAAAGTGCAGTGGAATTAGTTCCAGTTGTAAACATTGTTTTACTCATTGTAAAATGACTCGTGAGTGGGTGGTTGTAGGGATTTCGGGTGCAACGTGCAGTGGCAAGTCAACTTTAGCAGGGAACTTGCATGAAATGTTGCCTCAGTCAGTACTTATCCGCCAGGATGATTATTTTCTCCCTGTTGATTCACCAGCTCACATCAAAGTGGAAGCCCTTGGTCATTTGAATTGGGAAATCATGACAGCCTTGGATATGGATAGCATGAGATCCGATGTGCACAACATCCTATCTCAAGATCCATCCTTAGCAAAGTTACCAGCCAAGGCACAACGATCCACAAATGATGGTGCTGGAAGCATTGAAGCATTCCCCAACCTTCTCATATTAGAAGGATTTCTGTTGCTCAATGATCCTGCTCTGTCAAGCTTGTGTGATCTTCGGTACTATCTTACTTTAACACGAGAGCAGTGTTGGGAACGGCGACAAAAGAGGACATACGATCCTCCTGACATTCCTGGCTACTTTGATCTTACTGTCTGGCCCGAGTATGAGAAGCATAGGAATCAAGTCCTAGGTCAGTCTAACATAAAATTTGTGGATGGAATGATCCAGCCGGACATTACAAGAGCTTCTGTTGTAAATGATATTCTAAAGTTGCTTCAAAGATAAATTTCATTATCAAAATTAATGTGTGGTAAAGTTACTTCAGTGTATTATTTTGTGAACAAAACTTCATTTTCTTTTGATCTTATCCCATTGTGTCAGCAATAGTGCCTTATTATGAGTAACAAAACATAAGCATTTGCTCACTTGCCTTTTTCTGTGATAAATGTAAACAGATTACTCTTTTAAAAGTTTGACTAGGTTCTTGAGAGTGATTGCAATATGAATTAAGGTCTGCACAAATGCTATTTGACTGTTTGTTGATTATTTTACATAATAAAAGTTTTATTCCATTATAAACTGCAAGCTAAATACACTTGGCATCATTAATTACACCAAATTTGATGAAGCATTTTAATTGTGATACTCATAAGGAACAACAATTTGGAATGAAAGTTCTGCCATTTAAATTTATAAATGAAATGAAAATTCACACTTATGTAGAAAGAATAAAACGTCCCCACAATATATGGACGTGTCACTTGTAGAGGTGCATTAAGACAGAACATGAGGGTAAGGAAGTAAAGAGGTATAACCAGACATCCTGAACAATGAGGTTCCTTAATCCTGTCTAGAGAGGAAATTCTATCTCATGTTAGTTTTAATGGTTCGGATGGGAGCTTTGAAGTTAGCAGCGGCAGCATATTGCATCTCATAAGCGGAGTGATGAATCTTGAAACCATAAAGCCTGAAACACCAAATCAAAATTTCTATCAATTTTATAACAGTACAAACATGAAAAAGAAAAGGTTTTGAGCTACGTACCTTGCCACAAAGGAATTGACAGGCTTCTTTGGCCTGTATTCAGGATGAACCATGAAAAGCATGTGAGGGAAACCAGTTCCAAAGTAGGCACCATCAGTGTGGTGATGGCGAGAAGATTTTGGTGTGTAGACATCCCTGCATTTTGGGCAGTACGCTTTCACCATAGCTTCGCCGGGTACATCAGACAAGCCTACACAGAATGGTTGTGAAAAAGAGAGGAACACTCCAGACAGTTGACACATTGCAAAAGGAAACGGGTAGGGTCCTACCAATTGGAAGCATGGGCTGAAGTTCGCAGTACACCCGTGGACAGTGACCGAAATCACCATTTTGATACTTCTCAATCATCTTGGCAATACCACGGTTTGTAAGAATGTACCGAGCATGAATAAGGCCATAGAGCATCTCTGCGGCCTGTTCAATCAAATCAGACTGATTTGGGTTGTCATCTATTTCATCATCTGCAATATAATATCAGGAATTGTTACTCACAGCTACAAATACTCAAAAGAAAGACAGGTGAGAATTTCAGCAAGACATATCCATTCAGTCAGCATAAATTTCATGAACGCCGCCTCAGCAACCTCCTGGGTCAGTGAGCGAGCCCCTTGTCTCACCTGGCTCCAGATCAAGAATCATGTCGTGAGCTTGTCGGTAGTGAGGGACTTGTTCGTTGAGCCCCGTCAAATTGAATTTGTCCTCGATGTAATCTTCGTCCACCTCGCAGAAGAACTCATTGCCCCGCAGCCCCACGAACCATGAGATCCACGACACCTCCTCGGAGCTACTCATTTTCCTGGAAGCCACAAACAGCAAGGCGTTAGGCCGTTAGGCGTCGACGAGTTTTGAGCGAACACGGCCCAAGGCGAATCAGGCTTTGGAGACGCGAGCTGCAGCGAGGCGGCCGTTAACAAGTCCTACTAATTTGCCGCCTTAACCTCAATCCGATAGAAAGTGGACGGGATGTGACGCATTAATGCGCACTCGCAGACTGCGCCTCAACAAGGGCACTGCAAATGCGTACTCCAAGGCCTAGAGACTGATCAGCTGCGACTACTTTCCCTACTACGTAACTACGGAGTACGCCGAGGTTTACGCTTACCCGTTTTTCCGCAGCTAGACCAGCCCTCAACCCTTTCTTCCTCTTCTATCTTTCTCGTTGGTCTCTCTGTCTCTGTCCGTCGCCTGCTCCACCCGTCTCGCTGTCTCCCTTCAAAACAAATCGTTGCCGGTTTGCGTTTTGGAACTGCCGATAGCGACCCGAGACGTTAAAGGCACTCACAGCAGACAGCGCTTCACGACGCAGACGCACAGAGACACAGAGAGGCACGATTCGGTGAGGTTAAGTTTTTCTTGATACGTTTGTTGCCGTCGGTGATTTATTTTGTGTTTGTTTTGATGACGTTTCTTTTCGTGTTGGAGAGGTAATATATCGCTATTATTATCGAAATCAAGAGAGAGCAGTTTTGCTTTTTAGGAGATGATACCTTTATTCTTTATTTGTTTGTGAAGGAATTTGGAAACACTTGCTTCACACATGTGTGTTTGTGTTTTTCAGGTAATTTGTCGCCACTTACGGTACTTACAGTGAAGGTGCTTTGAACGCCACAGCTCGTCAAGATGGTCAAGATGGGCTTAACCAAGCAGTACCTGCGATACACATCTGCTGGGAATTTCAATATCATTGCCAGCCTCTCCTGCAATGCCGTTTTTGTGGTATTGCAAGGCCAAGAAGGCAGATTTGTGGCAGTGGGTGGGTGTGAAGATGTTATAGTTTGGGATCTTCGCCTCGGTGAAAAGGTTTGTGAGTTTATTGTGACAAAATGACGACATCAATGCAAATGCTGTTCTCAAATCTGTGTCAAGATCCGCTGTGTTTTGGCCATTGTTCTGACTTGCATTATCATTATTATTATTATTTCCAGGCACTGGTGATTCCTGGAGAAAAGCATGAAGTTACCTTCATACTCCCAAGTCCGGATAAGCAGTTCCTAGCGGTTGGATATGCAGATGGCTCAATCAGAGTGTTTGAGCTAAGTACTACTGATTTGGTAGCTACATTTTCAGGGCACCGTTCTGCTATCAACTGCTTGGCATATGATGAAAATGGTCATCGCCTTGCCTCAGGATCTAAAGTGAGTATTTTTCAATGCAACTTCATTCTGATTATATTGGTAACATTCCTTAGGCACTTATTCCTCTTTTTCAAACTTGGCATTTATTTTATTTTTAGACATTATAGTTCTGTTTTCTTTTTATTGACATAGGACACTGAAATCATAGTATGGGATGTAGTAGCTGAGCGTGGTCTTCATCGCCTATCTGGTCACAAAGGAATTATTACCCAAGTGGCATTTCTTCATGACCGCAATATCCTTGTTTCTTCTTCTAAAGATACATTTGTTAAATTTTGGGATCTTGATACAGCACACTGTTTCAAAACAATTGTTGGTCATCGAACTGAAGTAAGTTGTTTACACCCCTACTTTGTTAGAATAGTTTAAGTTCTTGAGTCTTGTCCTGAATCTATTGCTTTTTGCTTCTTATATTTTTATTATATTCGTTCTCCTTAGGTGTGGGGCTTGGCTCTGGTGAAGAATAGCAAGTACCTTGTAACAGGCAGCAGTGACAGTGAATTGCGTATGTGGGAGATAAAGGATGGTAAAAACAGCTCAGAATCAACACTTATGGCTAGAGATGAAGACCCCTCTGATATAACTAGTGATGAGTCAGATGTTGCGGTGAGTTTTCGCTCTTGTGACGTGTTGCAGTAACTTGCATAATGGAAAGCATTTTAATGGATGTTTTATTTATTTTTGTTGTATTGTAGTCACCAATTATCTGCATTAAAGCTGGGTCCATCTTACGGGCTGGTACAGGCCGTGTGGTTGGTCTCACAGCAGACAGAGATGGTTCTGTGTTGGCTTGCTTTGGATCTGATAATAGTCTGGAAATGTTTGAAGTAAGATCTGATGAAGAAGCTAAGCTAAAGATGAAGAAGCGCTTGAAGAAACAACAGAAAAAGCAATTAAGGTAAGCTTTAGTGCATCATACCCTCCAGCATTTATGGACCAATTTGAACATATTTGAGGTGTTATGTGTGATCATGTTACCTACAACAAAACATTTTTTCCCTTCCAAAGATTTATCTCTTAAACTAAACAAAAGTCTTTTTAATTTCACTTGTTACTTACATTTTCTTTTTCTTTATTTGCAGTAATCCAGAGGAGTTTAAGGACACTTCTGAACCCATGGAAACCATACCCGAATTGGATGAAAACTCTTCCCCGTCTCTGAAAGATGAAATAATTAGGCTGCCAGTCATTAAGTATGGTGGAAAAGTGAAGTCAACTTCTCTTGCTGTCGGTCGTGGTCAAGAGCTGAGAGTAAGTTTTTCCTTAATTTGTTCAGAGCTAGAATTGAATCTCCCACCCAGCACACCGCATGGACCTCAGATTGATTCCAATCCTTATCTTAAGTTTTGTGTATTTCTTACTTCAGAAAGTGCTGCAAACTAATGTGTACTCATCTTCTAGGTGGCTAGTATTTTGAACAATAATAGATTAGAACTTCATTCTATGAGTTTATCAGCTAAAACCACCCCACCCCACAGTTTGAGAGTAATTGAAAATCAAGGTCACCACTCTGAAGTCAGAAATGTGGCATTTAGTTCTGATGGTTTGGCCATTATTTCTGGCAGTTCAGAAGCATTAAAAATTTGGAATAGGTAAGTATCTTTTCCTGTAGACAACATCTTTGTATGCTTTAAATCAATGTAGTGCTTTTTGAACTATTAAAATTTTTATCTTTCTTTTCTTGTTACAGACCATCATTAGCATGTTTACGAACAATCAAAACAGACTATATTTTGTCTGCGTGTTTTGTTCCCGGTGACAGACATGTTCTTCTAGGCATGAAAGATGGAAAATTGCTTATAGTCGACATAGCTGCAGGAGACATATTAGAAGAAATTGAGGCCCACTCAAAAGAATTGTGGTCTATTTCTGTTTTACCTGACAAGGTAGGCATAGGTTCATTTTCTTAGAATCTTCAATATCTCTTAAATATTGCAATACACATTGACTAATTGTTTTCTCTTTGTTTGGAAGCGTGGTTGTGTGACAGGGGGAGGTGACAACACAGTAAAATTTTGGCAGTTTGAGCTCATCCAAAGTTCTGAATCAAAGGCAAAAGTACTATCAGTTCTTCATACACGGTCTCTTAAACTAGAAGAGAGTGTCCTCTGTGTTAGAGTCAGCCCCAATAGCAGACTTCTTGCTGTTGCATTACTTGATTCAACAGTCAAAGTCTTTTATCTAGACACATTGAAGGTAAAATTTTGGAACATGCAATAAATTGCAATTTTCTGATTTGTAACTTTTTACCCGTATTTCCTAATTTTTTTTTTTAATGTGTTATTTATTATTTTGTGTTTTAGTTCTTTTTATCCCTCTATGGACACAAACTTCCAGTTACTTGTATGGATATCTCTTCTGATTCCACACTAATAGTCACTGGAAGTGCTGACCGCAATGTTAAGATTTGGGGCTTGGACTTTGGTGACTGCCATCGTTCTCTATTTGCCCATGACAATACAGTGACAGGAATACAATTCATCCCAGATACGCACCAGTTCTTCTCATGTGGTAAAGATGGGCGTGTGAAACAATGGGATGCAGACTCGTTTGAGAGGATAGTTACTATTCAGGTACAACTTACTTAAGCATACTAGTATCAATCGCGCCAACTAAGTGGTGTTTCAGATCTTTATCTCATATACCCATCTTTCTTTATTTGAAACTTCAGGGTCATCATGGTGAGGCATGGGGTTTGTCTGTAAGCTTTAATGGCCAATATGTGGTGAGTTGTGGGTCTGACCGAGTCCTAAGGATGTTCACTCGCACTGAAGAACCCCTTGTTTTAGAGGATGAGAGGGAGCAGGAACGGGAAGAAGAAGACAATGAGGCTGTGGAACAGTCTGAGGAGACGACAGTGGAGGGCCAAAGTGCCTTGCATCTGCCATCCAAGAAAACAGTTGGCAGTGAAAAGGCGGTAAGGCATAACATCTGTAGAAAAGCCTGTTTTAAGAAATGCAGAGCTGTACATGATATTATTCTTTATCCTTCAGGCGGAAATGCTCCTAGAATGCCTCGAAGTAGGTGCTGCATATGCTGCAGAACTGGACCAACATAACATAGCAGTGAAAAACACGGGGAAAGAGGGAGTTGTTCCACCACCTCCTGCCATAATGGTTGCTTACAATGCTTCCACGCCTTCAGAGTTTTTGCAAGAAGTTCTAGCCAGAATAAGACCAAGGTACTTTTCACCCGTCATTCAATGTCCTCTTTGTCACAACTTAGTATAGAACCATTTACAGGCTTCTTAAATACAGTTTCAAAATATAAGTGATTACATTTTTGTGAATACAATATTGCTATTTGTTTGTTTCAGTGAGCTGGAAGAATGTCTTCTACGTGTTCCATTTGGCAGTGTCTTGCAGCTTTTGCCCCAGCTCATCACTTTACTTGAAAAGCCCCAGCAACCACATACAGAAATAGTGTGTCGAACAGCTCTATTTCTTGTTCGTGTTCATCACGGGCCTATTATGAGTACTTCTTCTCTTCTGCCCACTATTCGCCATTTGCACATGCTCGCTGCCTCAAAGATAGCAGAACTACGGGTATTTATGCCAATATTTATTATACATTACTTTACTTTCGATTCATCATTAGACACCTACATACTTTTTCTGTTTTTGTCTTATGCAGGATTTAGTTGGTGTCAATCTTCATGGCTTCTTGTTCCTTCAACATGAAATTGAAGCAAGGGAAGGTGTTATATTGTTTACTGAAGCAGCAGCGCAGCGAAAGCAACGAGGAAAAAAGCGGCGTGGACCCACCAAAAGAGCAATTCTTACACTATAAAGTGTTGTTGACTTTAGGAACAAAATGGATGCTTGTAACATTGTAAGAAATAAATTATATGAAGTTGACCCATTATTAATGGTAATGATTTATTCTGTAATTGTTAAAGGAAAACCAGGCTATTTCTTCTTAATGAAATAAGAGTTAAGTTAATGATTATTAACTGCTGTGACGTTTGATGGTAAGGTTTTTGCTGTACAATATTTTGACATGGGAGTGCACACCCTCCTTAATTTCTCTTATTTCAACACGATGTACTTTGATGAAATCTGGGTTCTTGGGGTCAGGTCCCAATTCCACATCCAAAATGTCTCCCTCTTGTATCTGTAAAAGGCATAGTACAAGGTAATTTCACTTATTTAATATATTACCGATAAAACATGTGAGTAAATAAACTTACTGGAACTGATTTTTTTAAGAGTTTAGTTTCATTTTTATAGATTCTCCCCTCAAGAAATGCTTCTTCTACAATTCTGTTTAAATAGTAAATACAAGGTAAAATTAAAAATGCTGCAATGAAGTACTGTAACGACTTTTTTGGAAGAATTCTGCTAACATTAAAGGAAACGTACCGAGCTGAATTAGTTGCAAGCTTCAGAACTTTGTCTGTTCTAGCCACACCAACCTTCAAGATCCTTTCTTTCTCTCCTGGCAATGCTCCATCCTCATCTCCATCATCACCATCTTCTTCCCCTTTGTTGTCATCATCTTCGTCTTCTTGTACCTATCAGATGTAAGTTAAATGAATTATACATAGTAGTCGTTTCTACATCTCTTCATAACGCAACACAAGTCATAACGGAAAACATCTGTGAAGAGGTTGGAAGTGTCTTTGCTTTACAAGTCATTTAGGCTTCTAAACATTTGATGACATAATGCAGATTTATTTTATTAGACATATATGTATCAATCCCTTCAATAAGAAAATTACAAACCGGATGCAAGTTTACCTTTGAACCCTTCTTTGATTTTTTCGACTTGTATCGACAGAGTTGAAGGTTGATGCCTGCTGTCTGAATGGGTGAAATGTCCACTAAAGCTCGTGAAGCAGGAATGCTTGTAATCAGTCTAATATTGCAAGGTCTTAATTTTATCTTAAACGCTGTCATCGACGCCTGTCGAAAACAGCAACTGGAGAGAATCCTAAGGCTCATTATGAAATTTGACCACACAAACACGCTACAGCAGACAAACTCGGTGTCTTTGAGTGGTGCGAATAGTGACAAGTAGCAAGTCGTGCGAGTAGACAGTTTTTGATTCCAATGTGAATATGCGTTTGTGTGGCCAGCGCGGAGAGGAAGCGGAAATGGGAGGGGGAACAGACCGATTCCGAGAGCCGTTTTCACGGTGTCTCTCGCACTCATGGGGCGTCCCGGAGAGGTGCGAGAGAGACGGCAACGAAAGAGACTCTCGAAATCAGACTGCGGATGGCCCTGGTGTTGGTGTCGGCACTCACACCAAAACGATTACACGCACGACACCGCTACGCTTCCTGGGGAATGAGACCAACCATGCGATTCCGAAGACTCGTTGCGTCACTCTGTCTCTCTCAAACCCCTCGCTCCATGAGTGCGAGAGAGGCAGGACGTCGAAACGACTTTTCGGAGTCCGTCTGCCGACGGTGGGCGTGTCGCGTCCTCGCACTTGACTTCTAGGCAGCACAGCGGAACTTGGCCGCTGATTTTTCCCATTCCACCTCCCGAGTGAAGGGGACAAGCGCTACGATACGAAGGCAAGGAGGAAGCAAGGAACTCGGTGCTCCCGAAGCTCCAGACGCACCGTGAAGGTTGAACAGCTGCCCGTCTCTAACAGTGTACCCTCTAGCGCCTGTGAGGTAGGCCAGCCGCCCGGCCCGCAAGACACCGGTGAAGAGATGGTGGCCTACCTCGCGCCTGGGAGGCCGACAGGGGCGAGATAGGCCACCATCTCTTCACCGGTGTCTTGCGGGCCGGGCGGCTGGCCTACCTCGCAGGCGCTAAACGCCAAATGAACTTGAAATGGAGCGCGTTGGATCACTAATTGATGGCATGCCATTTCGGAACCGGCGCTGCTATGCTTACACTGCACACAACGCGACAGCACAACGCGACACGGGCCACGAGCAGGCGGCGCTGTGAGCAGCACGGACCGCCACTCGATGAAAAAGAGCTTAAAAAATAAGTTAAGAAGAGGCCAGGTAGAAAAAGTTGCCTATCTACAGGGGCAGCCTTGTACATGTTTATCTACCTAGGAGAAGGTGTGCATGATGTCCGACAGGCTGTCTGTAGTCAGATTTTAGGACAATGAACGGCCGAGCTCCTAGCCCAGTCCCCTCCGCAGGATCCAGTGAGGGAGGAGGGAGGAAGGGGGGGGGGGTGAAAGGACGATTGACCCCCTCCCCCGGGTGGCCCTTAGCTAGCCGCCAGATATGTGGACAAAAAGCTGCATCTTGCCCCCTGTAAGTAGGCAAAACGTTCTGGAGTGCCCCGCCGCTGCCGCTGGTAAACAAAGTCCGGCGGCGAAGCGTCGTCGCCGCGCACCCGGCCGTCGCTGGCGGTGCACTTTTTGGGCTCCGCGCTGAGCGACACCTGGCCGCCCCGCTCGCGACGGCCTGCCACTGCTCCCGGCTGCTCCCGTTTATTGCCCCTCATTCTGCTGCATCCGCGAATCTGTCGCCTCGGGTTCGCCAGGTGGGCCTCGCGGGCCAAACACCCCGAGCAGCGCGGGGCGCACAGCGGTGTCTTCAGTCGAGAGGCACCCACCCGGGCGACCTGCACGTCGTCGTCAAAGTCGTTACCTCGTCGCCGTCGAAGTCGTCGCCTCGTCGCCGTCGAAGTCTTCGCCTCGTCGCCGTCGAAGTTCGTCGCTGCTTACAGTAAGTTTTCCGCAAAGTCCGAGAGCACTAAGAATAGGGACATGACGTTGAAACGAATGCGACAACAAAGTGTCAGGTGCCACATTCGCAGAGGAACCTGTGTCACATTCGTTTGAATGTGACTTGCTGTTTGGTCCCTAACGCACGCCGTGGCGCGCGACATCCTTCGAGTGTACTTCGCGCGTGAAATCTCGAGTCCCTGACCCGGTGAATGTGGATGATGGAGGCAAAAACCAGGGGCCTGGGACTGATACGAGCGCGCCAATTGACGCCAACCAACTCGCTCTGTCTCTCTCGCACCCCTAGCGAGAGCCCTATGAGTGCGACAGAGACAGCGCGACGAAACTACTCTTGTGAATCGCTCGGCCGGCGGAGGACGGTGGGGAATTCCTGGCAAGAATTGGAATCAATGATTCATTGCAAAACCGACAAACTCATTGGGCGTAATTCGAATGTCACCTCCTTCATTCCCTGTCCGCACTCTGCAATCCGCGTGTAAGAGCAAAAACCCAAAACCCAGAGACTCTGGAGGTCAAAACGCGTGTAGAGTTTTGGCCGCCGGCGCCAGTCTTCCGGCCCACTGTGCACTGGACACTAGGCACCAACCATGGCTGCTGCGGCGCCGACGGCGGTTGCTGGGTGCGGTGCCGCCGGGCAGGTCGTCCATAGGCTGGCCGTCATAGGCAGGCCGTCTTAGGCTGGCCGTCAGTCCCCCACCGCGGAGGCTCGGAAGTGTGTCCAGGCCCGCACTGTCCGCAGTGCCGGCAGGCTGCTTATGGCGGGCTGAGTCCGGTCCCAGTGCCCGCCGCGTCCACGCTAGGTAGCCGTCGAGAGCGCCGTCCACGCCGCCGAGCCATCCCCTGCCGGAGCCTCGGCCCGAGCCATGAGCACAGCGGGCACAGCCTAGGCCAGGGCGCCTGTTCGCCCTCGGCCGGCCTCGCCTCGCAGCGGTGGGACGAGGTAAGTCCGTCCGTCGCTGTCTCTTTCGCACCGCGACGCCTCGTGAGTTCGACGGAGACAGAGTCGACATGGCCTGCGGGTTACCGCCAGCACTTCAAATCCGTTGACAAGTTTTGCTTGCCGCTTAAGTGGCGCTCCGTTTTGGATGCAAAAATTTGGCCTTCTGGTCCAGGATTAGCCTCTGGAATGCAAAAGCTTTGCGTCCTCGACCGCCGGAGTGACGAGTTTCGGCACTCGGTGAGAGCAATCCAAGAGCAATCCGGGGCCAGATGGCCAAATTTTGGCGTTTGAAACGGAGCGGCACTGGAAGGGCAAGCGCAGTTACAACTGGATTTGCAAGTGGAATGGGCATCGGAGACCGAACCTCGAAACGGTCGAGCGTTTCGGTTTTGGGTGACATCATCTCTATTCTGGGAGAGCGAGTCAAATGGCGCTACTCAAAACGCCGAGTAAGTTTTTGTGTGCGGTGCGAGTAAGCACTGCCGACGTTTCCGTTTCTTATGACCGCAAAAAATGTACTGGCCACCCACGCCAAATTTCTCCACAACATTTGAAAAAACAAAACAAAAAAAAACACCTACACTCTAAAAAAATCAGTACAGAATTTTGTAACATGGTTACGCAGCTTTTTCAATAACATGTGTTACAGAAATTTGTATCACGATGGATACAATTTTTTTCTTTGTAACTTGGTTACAGAATTTCGTAACGGTTACAAAATTTGTAAACAGTCGTTATTCTTCCAAATCAAGCTTCAAAATGAGAATTTTGTTCGAACGTAATCTCCGTGGGTCTGATTGATGGTCCTTATGCCATCCTTCGAGTCACCACTTTCTCAGATGTACTCTGAGAAGTCGGGAATCGAACCCCAAACTCTGGGTTGGCGGCCCGCCACGCTACCAACTGCGCTGTGCGGACGCCGTGGAGGGAGCGGCGCAGGTAGCCGGTGACCTGAGGCGCGCGTGGTAAGGGACGGAGGCCTTGCCAGCCAAGCATACACGAGACTGAATCTCTTATTCAGAGTCGGGAAAAATAAAAGCACATGAAAACTCTAAGTTTAATTTGTCTCTATGGGCACTGCTGTTCAATTTTGCCGTTAAAACATTATGTTTTAATCTCTGATACAGAATTTAGTGTCTGGTTACAATTTTCTGTATCAGTTATGTTACAAACATAATATTGTAACCTTCATGTAACAAATTTCTGTATCAAGCTCCAAAATGATTCATTTTTCTGTAACCGGCACATCTGATACAAAATTCTATATCACTTATACAAATATTTGTAACCAATGCAGGTGATACAAAATCCTGCCTCAAAAATGATACAAAATTCTGTAACTTTTTTTAGAGTGTAACCAACATCAACAACAAAACCGGCACCACGCCGCAGACGGGCAGCGACGCGTTTCCGCCCAGAGGCATCATCTATCCATCGATCGACTACACGTGGCCGAACCACCGGCTGAGTGATGGCAGCTCGTATTCAGAAAAAAAATTACCTCGTCTGGGCAGCCGGACGGAAAGATCTGCGCGGAATTAATGTTTCTCATTTGACGCGTCCCTCCTTCGTCGCTTGGCTGACGACTCCTGGCAGTTTTGTTTTTCGTTGAAACCTGCGTGCGATATTTTCCATTCTTATTCCCACTATTCCCATTCCCTCTGTTTTTTTTTCTCTATGCCCCATTTGGTGAATTCGGGTGAATAAATACAGGAGGTCCGGGTCGGTCACCAGCCAGTCACCGGCCAACCAGCTCGCTTGGCGGAGTGGATCAAATCTAGCCTGGCGACACTCTTCCTCGACGGTAAATAAAATAATCTCGTCTGCATGCAGAAAAAATTAGTCGGTCCAGGTTGATCGTGAGAGTCTTGGCAACCGAAAAGCGTACCGCTTTTCAAGAAGGACGTAAGGTCGTCAAGCTTCTTCGTGCGCCTGAATGAAGCGTCCAAGCGCGCTTTAGTTTTTAGTTTTACCAGTGCTTTGCGTTATTGGCCCTGGAGACTGTCTGTGTCGCACACTGCCGAAGGGGGACAGGGCCGGGCCTTCGGCCGGGCCGCATTGTGCCGGACAATGCACGCATCTGCTGAGTAAGCCGCGTGCACGTACGTGCGTCGAGGGAGGACGCACGTCTCCCATCTCTCTCCAACACGCCGCGTGGTCCAGCGGCAGCCTTGTTCAGTGGCTTCACAGACGGGTCCAAATTCATTTTCACAGTGCCAGCGAGCCAAGCAGCACATTGGCGGAGCAGGGTGAGCGAGTGAGACAGGGACATCCGCGAAAGCAGCAGAACGCCTCGAGAGCGGTCACTGCGAACTCTGCACTTCCAAGTGCGCGGACTGGAAATTTCACATACCTCCTCATTCCAAGAGTGGAGCTATGTTGGTCTGGCGTGCATACCCATTGTAGAATTGCTCCGTTGAAGAAAACTCCGTATTGAATTTCGCTTCTGATACAAAATATCTCTTGGTAGATTTTGCAATGCTTTCTCTTGGTATTACAAAGCAACACTCCGTAGACTTTTTGCTGTGCAGTAGTAGGGCGTGAGTTTTCGTTGAATTGACTCCGAGCAAGTAGATAGCAAGGCATTCCAGCGCCACTCGCCACTGACGAGCTTTGTTTCGCTGACTCGGCGAGAGTCTCCGCGGCGAAGGTGGAGGGTTGGTGGCGGCCACCCCTTGGAAGAGAGCTGCCCCGCGTCATCCGCTGCAGTGGTCTGCCGCCCTGCCGCTGCCCATGAATTCTAAATACCAAGGCACGCCACTGGCAAACGACAACGCCAACGGCCGGCCGGATCAAGAGGCTCATTCGCAAGACTGCTGCTTTCGTCGCTCTGCCTCTCTCCCACCCATGGGGTGTTCCGAGGGGTGCGAGAGCGACGAAAGCAGCCGTCATCGGAAGCCGCCTCGCGGCGGGGCGGTGACCTCTCCACGGCCCTAGACGGCGAGACACAAGGCTAGACCGAGGGCTAGACGCCCACCAGCCCCCAGCAGACTGTTGCTCTGTCTCTCTCGCACTCGTGGAGCGTTCCGTATAGGTGTCAGAGAGACAGAGCGATGAAAACGACTCTCAGCTTGCAGTGCAGGACCACAGGGGCGGTGACTCGTTTTCAACTCTCCAGACCCTAGAGTCTCCTGATAGGCCTCATGAAACACGGCCACAATGGTACCCATACCCATTGGTGCCATCAAGTGTTTGGTCTCGAAGACTGTAGAGCCTGAAGCGTGCCCCGCCGACCGGCGCGGCCCCAGTGCCACTATCTACGCAGACCTGCGCAGGCAGAGGCGACAGTCCATTCATTACTTTGAAGAGCGGCTACACTGGAAGCGTACTTTTTCGCCTTCCTTGGAGCGTCGTGGTTGCAACGCTCGGCTTCAGACGACGTAGTTCTCTGTCCCACCCCTCTCCCGCACCCTTCAAAATGCGTTGGAGAATGCCTTCGCCACGCTTGACGACAAGCATCATCATCATCATCAGCGCTGTTAGGCCTCAGCAGACCTCTAGCGTTCGAGTAAGCAGCTAATCATAGAGTCTTCAATTTGTTTGCCTGAATGGGGCGCAACTCGCGCTTCAGGTTTACCAGTGTAGTGATCCTAGATGCAAAGGGCCGCCGTCGTTTGTCACGGGCATCTTGTGGGCCATTAGTTGGCAGCAGCGCCTTTCCGGCAGTCTGGCCTTCATTTGTCAAGGTCAGCCGTCGTCTTCCTCCCAGAAGTTTTACTTTGCCCACTATCACGCTCAGGTGAAGCAAGGAATGGAAACTGCAAGGCAACGTTATTTTGAAGGAAAAACAAAACTTTATTCGTCTCATTTTATTAGTGACTCAATAAAATGCAATAAAAACTTATTGCTAAGAAAAATGTGATAAAAGTTACTACAAAACGCTCTTTTGTGGCAAAAACTAAGGGGTGGCTATTGCAAAAAAAATATGCAAAAACTAAAAAAAAAAATGCAAAAACTAAAATATCGCACTCTTACGGTGCGATAAATCGTGGGAATCGCAAACTCGGTTTTATCGCAAGAAATTGTAGTAAAAGTATCGCAAAATGAATGACAGTGAATTTTTTCGTACACTACGGCCAATTTCACTGTAAAATTTTGTGTGTGTGTGCAGAGACGGTAACGTTGACGTTCTCTCCCTTGCAGGCGATGCGCGCCCTGGCCTCGGCCCTGCCGGTGCTGCCGGTGCTGCTGCTGGTGCTGCTGGCGGTCGCGGTGGCGACGTCGCGGTCCACGCAGAGCAGAGTCTCGCGGGCCGCGCCGGACCGCAACGCAAGCGACCGCGCGGACGGGGCGGACGGGGCGGACGCCGCGCGGCTGCTGTTCGCCGCCATGGCCGACGCGTTCCCCGCCTCGTCCCTGACCGCGAGGACGGCGCCCAGGACGGCCAAGGAGGAGCTTCTGGCCGCCGAGGCCAGCATGTCCGCGGTGAGTACACTCCACAGCCTGGTGGGTGACTTTACATGCCATTCTCGTCATCAGCGCCATGAGGTGTCAACGCCCTCTAAAACGTGATCAGCAAAAAATGAAGGAAAACAGAACACAGTCCAAATTGAGAGCAAGGGCGAACTCCGTTCTAATGAGCAGTTTCGTGAATTGTTCATCGATGGAGATGTAGAAAATGATACTTAGAATAACAAACCTCACACTAAATTTCTGTTTAAAATTCTGAATGAAGTCTCACATGTCTAACTGTCGCAACGAAAATGGGGGTCGATGGGGCGCCGAGGGTTCACGCCCCGTCCTGTTGTCCTTGTTGCGGGAGAGCCATTCGCCATGCCGACTGTGCTGCTGACTGATTCGGCTATTCGCTCTCGTCAGTGGGCCGGAGGACCGGCGCAGGCGGCCAAAATTCTAGACGCGTTTTGACCTCCAGCGATGCTTAATGGGACTCGAAACGAACGTGCGACTTCACCAATAGATTCCTTGTTCAGAGAGCAATCCATTGGTGGGGTCACACCATCGGTTCGAGATTCAGCAACTCAGAAGCTGAGGCGTCTTGAATTCCAGCCTCCTCCACCCATTGTGCATTGTCCTCTTGACCCTCTCTGGATCTGCGTTTGTATCTGGCTGGGTGCTGTTAGGGGGGTGGGGTGGCAAGTACCTCTTGTCCCCTCCTCCATGTGCCCGCGTCTGTGTGATCATCCAATCACCGCGCTGCAGCCGTGTAACCCACTTCACGAAGGTCCGGTGCGGCCAGGCATTGTCCGGGTTGTCCTGCCAGCCATTATCCGTACAGTCTCTCTCTGTCTCTCTCGCACTCCTGCGGCACGGTCCGTGAGTGCGAGAGAGACAAGGCGAAGAAAAGAGCGACTCTCCGGATGCAGCCGTGCTGGCGGGACTAACCGGACGTTAGTGCGTGCCCTTGCCGGCCAGTGTCTTCGGAAAAGTGCCCCCCTCCCCCTCCCTCCCCCGGTCAGTGAGACGACGTGAAGCTGAACACTCGGCTGTAAAAGCCACGGATTGGCCATTCATTGCCCGAGGCATGCCCGAGGCATGGCCGAGGTGACGGACGGCGGCAGCAGTTCCCGAAGTACGGCAATTTGGTGCGGCGCTCTGGTCGTGGAAGCGAGTGCTAGCAGTGCAGCGCCGCCAGCCAGCGCCAGCCAGCACTCCGAAATCCTCGTGGATACGTCGTTTACGCGACGGATAGCATCGTGCATCTGCAATAGAGATGGAATTTATTGTATTACTGGATGTTTTTGTCCGTATCACTTCGTCATGTGCACTGCATCATCAATCGCATGGAAAGCAGGCTTAACTGGAGTGTGCCGGTGCCGTTTAAAGCACGGCAGACGATTCTCCGTCCTTCCGGCGTGCTGGAAGGGCGCACAGTGGGCCACACTGAGAAAACCTTACAAACTATTTTAGGCCTTACAAAGAAAAGCAGTTTGGAGAGCAATCCATTGGTGGGGTCACACGTCGGTTTGAGTCCTCTTTAGCGACTTTGGGGCTCTGACCGTGTCCACCGGTCTTCTGGCCGCCTCCACTGTGGGCCGTCCGTCCGCGGCCCTCGCTGCGTCCCGCTGCGTCTCGCGGCTTCTCGCCTCCCTCCCGATTACGATCGAATCAACTCGCAGATCTAGTCTGCCTTTAATCATCCCTTCCTCTTCCCCTAATCCCCCGGCCGGCCGGCCAGCCAGCCGGACGGCCACGCGCGGCCTCTCGCCGGTTTACTGCCAATGGCCGGCCGGCCGGCCGTGCGAGCGAGGGGCCGAGAGGGCGATGGGATAGGGTGGCCCGCCGGCCCGCCGCCTCGCCGGGGCGAGCTGAGGCGAGCGGGGCGCGGAGTGGAGATGGCACACTGCAAAGACCGCGGTCTCTCACGCAGCTCTCAAAACCTTACAAACCATTTCGGACCGTACAAACAAAGCAACTTGCCATCACGGAGTACACAAAGAAAATGCCTCGGAATTAACGAACTATTTCTTCATTTGACAAACAAAATCGTTTGTACCCTTATACATGCTCGAATCCATCAGTGCAGCAATTGTGCTGGCTTTGGTCTCTCAATTGCTTTGACGAGGATTCGGCCTGGGTGTTGATTGGGCCGCTGATTTGCATGGCGTGTCTGTCTGTGTGTCCAGGACCAGCTGATCCAGCACTGGGGCTACCCGGGCGAGCGGCACAGCATCCCCACGGAGGACGGCTACCTGCTGACACTCCAGCGCATCCCCTGGAGCCGGGACGCGGGGCAGGCGGAGCAGGCAGGGCAAGCGGCGCAGGCGGGGCAGGCGCGGCCCGTCGTCCTGCTGCAGCACGGCCTCCTGCAGACGGCGGACCAGTGGCTGCTGCGCGGCCCGGGGCAGGACCTGGGTCAGTACACACACTGTCAAACCCGAGGGGAAACTGGAAACCACTGTGAATTTCGCTGTACACATCCAATGAATTTTAGTCGAATTTCGACGAATTTCAGTCGAATTTCGGTTGAAATTCGAATAATTTCAGTAAAAATCAATGAATTTCAGTCAAAATTCGATGAATTTCAGTCAAAATTCGATGAATTTCAGTCAAAATTCGATGAATTTCAATCGAATTTTGATGAGTTTTAATGAATTTGAGTGAATTTTACAAGTTTGATGAGTTTCGGTGTACAAATTTGGCTGGAGTTATTTCCCCTTGGTCAAACCAGTGTGGCGAGCTCCACACTACTTTCTGGTGCGGAGTAAATCTCCGTGCGGAGTTTGCAGTCTGCACACTTCAAGTGTGGAGTTCTCCACATTAGCACCAAGCCAAGAGGTAGTCACACTGAATGTTTAAGTACTATTTTGTACGTGGTGGTGTGTACCGTCGTATAAAGTGCGTGAATTTGCATAAATTTATGCATCTTTACGCATGATATTATGCAAATTCCACGTGTGCACAGAATCGTGCAGGTTGCCCGTACAAAATTCTACCTAAACAAAGTGTAGAGGCTTCGTGCGCTACTCAAAGCTTGAAGCGGGGCGGCTCTGCTGCACTTGAAGTGAGGAGAATTGCTCCGCGCCAGGAAGCGTGGAGTCGTCCACACCGGGTTTGGCAGTGCCGCAACCAACGTGGTGCTCTCGCTAACAACTCGGTGCCGCAGCCTTGCTGATGTCCGACCAGGGCTACGACGTGTGGCTGGGCAACTTCCGCGGCAACACGTACTGCAAGAACCACATGACCATGTCGAAGGACAACGCGCAGTTCTGGGACTTCAGGTGAGTGAACAGACTCGTTCTGTTTCCCTTTTCTTCCGAGACGGCCGAAATTTGGCACTCCAGTGGCCTGGGCAGACAAATTATTTCGGCATGAAGGGGCAGATGGCCACGTTTCGGCGTGGAAGTTGCACGGCGTGACAACTTGCCAGCGGATTTTCAGTGTGGTGGTTGGGAAATTGAGGGCGAAGGTCGTGGCTGCAATGCCAGAGGCGATGGAGGAATGGGTGGTGCCGGTGGTGCCGCACGGGTGTGGGCAGCTTGTCAGCCTGGCAGCGCGCGGCCGCGCGGGAGGCGAGCTAGTGCGTGGGCGCCGGGGCACGCCGAGACACGGAACGCCTGCGGGGCGGGCCTGCCCGCAGAACTCGCACGCGCACGCCCTCCCTTGTTGCCTACCCTGCATTACCATTACCATTAAGGGCTAGACCACACATGATCGTATGCCATTTCGAGGCGCTCCCGTCCACTCCCGTCCTGGAAAGTTTCCGATGTAATCCGGAGGTAATACGCGGGTAATCTGGGGTAATCCCTATCCGATGTACACAAAATTTCTCAGTCGGTTCCGCCTCGGTGTTGCAGCTGGCACGAGAACGGCTTCTACGACCTGGCCGCCACCATTGACTACGTGCTGGCCGTGACGGGGCAGCCCTCCCTGTCGTACATCGGCCACTCCATGGGCACGACGGCGTTGCTGGTGCTGCTGGCCACGCGGCCCGAGTACAACCGGCGCGTCCGCGTTGCCTCCCTCCTCGCCCCCGTCGCCTACTTCTCGCGGCCGCGAGGGCTCACCGCCATGCTGTTCCCCATCACCAGGAAGATCGAGGTAGGGTTGCCAACCCCGCGGCCTCACCGCCATGCTGTACTCCCTCGCCGCTTTTCCAGCACTATGTGCACCGTCAATACGTTGATTTGCAGTGAGGCGGAGGGTTACCAACCCTGCGGCCTACCGAGGGTGGAGACTTCGCCATGCACGGCGGTAAAAACTGTTCCTGGTTTTCCCAGGAACTCTCTGGAAATCGACGACGTCTTTACCATAGGCTTCAACCAGGAAAGGTTTTTACCGTGTGCCAGCCACGCCTTGTCCCACGTTGCTGTCCTTGTTGCCCCGCAGCACGACGTGCGCGCCGTGCACATGGAGCTGCTGCCCCTGGGGTCGGTGCCTCGCAGCGCCGTCGGCGCCCTCTGCCGGCCGGGCGCGCCCACCGCCACCCTCTGCATGGCGGCCTACTCGCACACCACGGGGCCGGACCCGCGCCAGATGAACGCGGTGAGTGGCGGTCAAGGTCACGCAAGCACACTGTCAAACCAGAACTCCACACTTCCTGGTACGGGGTTGGCAGTCTGCACACTGCAAGAAGTGTGGAGTAGCTCATAGAGCCCCTGTCTCTTGGCAAGGTGCAAACGCGGAGCACTCCGCACTTGCAGTGTGGAGGCAGACTGCAAATTCTGCACTTGCGGCAATTTCTCCGCAGACGTTGCAATGCCTTCCTACTTCTGACGGATGCTCCGTAGACTTTTTACCGCGCGACTGGCGCCCGGGATTTCGAAAAGTGGGTCACCGGGACAGGAATGCACTCGCAGCAAGGCCCAAGGCCAGGGTCCACTCGAAGGCGACACGCATCGGCACGCTTTTCGAGGCGGGGCTTTGCGTGTAACGACACTGTAACGCGGCGCCACTCGATCTAATAATGTCTCTCTCGCTCTGCGTGGCTTCCGCAGACGCTGCTCCCCACCGTGCTGTCTCACGTTCCGGCCGGGTCCTCGCTCGGCCAGTTCGTCCACTACGCCCAGGTGCAGAAGTCAGGTACGTTGGTCCAAATCAATCGGGCATTTTCAAAGGTGCCCCCGGAAAAAGAAATATTCCAGGGAACCTGTAGACTTGCGTAGAATATATGACGGATGTTTACGAAGAATGACTAAGGGAGAATTTTCGGTTCCATGGAAAAACATGCCGTTGCACAGTGGGCCAGAAGACTGGTGGAGGAGGTTAAAGTCCCGGACGCGTTTTGAGCTCCAGAGCTGCTTAACAGAACTCAAACAGAACGTGTGACCGCACCAATGGATTGCTCTCCGAACGAGGAATCCATTGGTGGGGTCACACGCTCGGTTCGAGTGCTTTGAAGTGACTCTGGAGCTCGCAACACGTCTCGAGTTTTGACCACCTGCGCCGGTCTTCTGCCAAATCCACTGTGCTGCAACTGCACAATGGCTTGCTGCAGGCTTGTTCCGGCAGTACGACCACGGCGTGCGCGGCAACACGCTGCGCTACGGCCAGCCCCAGCCCCCCCTCTACAACCTGAGCAGCGTCGTGGCACCCGTCCTGTTCCACTACTCCACGGGCGACTACCTGGCCCACCCCAAGGTACGTGTTTCACGCTGTTCCAAAGTGCGTGCGGCTACTGACAGCCAACCTCAAAATTTAGAACAGAGTACCCACAGGCCAGGCTCCACCACACTCTAAATGATGAATATGATGTCATAGCTGTTAGAATGTGAATTTTGTCACGTTCGTTCGAATATGATGTTCTTTTGAATGTTGGTCAAAGCTCGCAGGAACGTGACATCCTAAATTAAACGGACGCGTCACGTTGCAACGAATAAGGAACGTGACAAAATTCACATGCTAACGAGTATAACGCCACGTTATTTGAATGGCAGGGCGCCCTCCTCGGGTCGTCGACTCGATAAACGCCAGTTTCTTTTCGGTTGCGTGCGGGGCGGTGTGGGGGCGGGCACGCGGTGAGCCGTTTGGCGCGAGGCAGCCTGACCTAACCGCGACTTACACGCCAACGCGCTGACGGCGTGAGCGCGGCGAGCAAAGCGGTGCAAAGCGGTGCAAAGTGATGGAAGCGTTGCCGCTCTTTTCAGCGAAAGGATTCGCGTGGGGAGGAAGCCGACCGAGATACCATGTGCACTGTTCACAATAAAAAGGAAAAGAAGAAAAAAGAAGAAAAAATGAAATTAAAGAAAAAGCAGGAAAAGGAACAAAGAATCTTTTCCTAAGAAAGAAAGAAAGAAAGAAAGAAAGAAAGAAAGAAAGAAAGAAAGAAAGAAAGAAAGAAAGAAAGAAAGAAAGAAAGAAAGAAAGAAAGAAAAAAAAAAGAAAAAATGTATAAAAAGGTATTTTTTTTGTTTTTTTTTTTCAATCATGGCATTGCGAAAAAGAGGCTGACGCAGGATGACACTTCGTGTTGCAGGACGTGGAGCGGCTGATGGGTGAGGTGGCCGGGACGGCGGCCGCCTACAAGGTGCCCTGGAAGAACTTCAACCACGGCGACTACATGTGGGCCGTGGACTCTTACGACCTGCTGTACAAGACGGTGCTCAAGAGCATGCGCGAGTTCTGAGCGCCCCGTGGTCTGCACGCTGGAAAACAGGTAAGGAATTAGTTGGGAGTTTACGAAGGTGCTTGGGGTGGTGTTCGTAAATTTGCGGGGATTCTTATTTCAACTTATGGAGAATTTTGTGAATTTATTCACAAATGGTCGCGGACTTACGAAGCGTTTTTGTAAATTATCAAGAATCTCCGTGAATTTACGGAGGTCACTTCGGTGACATTTCATCGAGAGGCACCTTCGGGCGCCTTCTTAAGTTGCCGAAATGTATTTTTTCCAGCGCTCCCGCACCCAGGCGATCACAACGAACCTCTCTGGAAGCCGCGGTGGCAGCGGCATTGCGAGTCAGTGTGTAAGCCGGCGCTGTTGTGCGAGAGCGCTGCAGTGAGCTGCAGTGCGCTACAGTGCACCGCACACCGGCGCAGCCAGGGCGCAGCCGGAGGGTCGTTCCGACCGCCCGTCCTCAGGGGTTGGACAGGCGTGCACGAATCCCCCGACCGGGTGGACCGCGGCGGATCGCCGAGTCGAGAGGCCCCTCGACGGAAGTGGGTCAGGCCGTCGGGCCGCCAGGCCGCCAGGCCGAGTGCAGCGAGGACAAAACGATCCGCGCGCACCGCGCTCGCCGCCACCACACCCGTAATCCTGTCTGTGATAAAAGCCTCGCGCTGTGATACACCAACCGGGTAGTTTAGCAGAGCGCGCTCGTTAAAACTTCTGTCCCGCGCTTATTATTATTCCGCGTTTCGAGTTTGCGTTCCGGCCGGGTGCGCTCCGCACGTGCGCGGCACGGTTCTTGCTTTTCCCAGGTAGCCTACCTACAACGTGATAAAGAAATTAGGAAAAGGTGTCTCTGACAAAAATGACGGCAAAGTTCAATTGTAAATGCGGGAAGATTGTTCGTTAAAGTCGAAGAATCTTCGCAGATTTACGAAGAATCTTGGTAAATTACCGACAATCTTCGTAAACTACCGACCATATAGGTAAATTACCGACAATTTTCGTAAAATCCAAAAAAAACCTCGTGAATTTGCTAAGGCGTCTTCGGCGGCAACATTTTGGCAGAAAAACCTGCGTAAATTCCGAAAATTAGTTTGATAGTTTTAGGGTACAAAAGACACGGGCGTTTTACCGGGAATTACTGGGAAAACCAGGAACCACGTGGAGTGAGCGGCCGGAACGACCCACCCCTGTCCATGGGTGGCGAACTTCTCACGGATCGCCTACGTTTTATGTTGTAAAATTACGACCACAAACAGTTCTGACATTACTCTATTTTATTTTTTTTCAAATTTTTAGCTGCAATGTTTCTATGCAATTTTTTTTAATAAACCATAAAACTCTGACTGTAATTTACTTTGAACGATCCAGAACGACCTTGCACACGCAAGAGCACTGCTCACTGACTGAGAAGAAAGAGTGGTGGCTACAAAGAGGAAATGCTTGACTGGGTGAAGTCCCACCAAAGTTCAGCTATACAAGGTTTCACCACCCCAGATGTCGTCATGATTATTTTGCTCTCGGTGATTCCGCCTGCAATCAAGTAAAAAGGCCCGAGGCCGGTGTCCGCGGCGTTCAAGAGACATTCTTTGCGAGATTGTTGCATCACGGTCAAGAGCTGAGGCGTCGTCCGGAGGCGCGGGGAGGCGAGAGGGAGAGAGAAATGACACGCTCATCACTGTACGTCTCGAACTCATGTCCATTACGAATTCACACTGTACTCACTCGGATACTGACCAGAGGTCGAGGCTGCAGTCACCGCGAAAAAGACTGACGAGAAACAAGAGAAGAACCTTCCTGCAGCAGCCGTGAGTCAGCCTTCAGCGAAGCGCGCGTCCCGATAGCAGGGCCAGCGCCGCCAGCGGGGTCAGTGCTTGCCCGTCTGCCCTCGCTCGCCAGGTTCCCGCGAAGCTCCACGTACTCTGAAGCAACAAGGGTGGAGCCAGACCAAGGGCGGATCCAGAGACGGGTTCGAGGGGGGGGGGGATGTCGCAAAAAGTTGCCTACCTACAGGGGCTAAGTGCGACTTGTTGCCTACCTTTCAGGCGGCTTCACCACGGGGGGGGGGGGGGGGGGCTTTCCTCCTTGGATCTGCGCGGGGAGGGGCAAAGAAGCTCCTGTGCCTAACTACTGGGGCGGGGGAGGCCTGCTCTTTAAATCCACCCCTGCAGAAGCATCAACCTCTCGCGTGGCCGGACGCACCGAAGGTGATTCACTGAAGCCGATGCAAGAGTCCACACGTTCGTCGAGCTGCGTCCGTGATGTGTTTCGTTAGCAGTGTGCTGCCGTGGGGCTGTGGGGCCGTGGGGTTCGATGGCATGAATTAGAATGGACCAGCCGGCCGGGTTGCGGGGGCATCCTGTCTGTCAGCCACTCAAGGGGGAGGGAGCTTCTGTTCAATACGGAGCGGAATCCCTGAAACCCCCTCTCTCTCTCTCTCTCTCTCTCTCTCTCTCTCTCTCTCTCTCTCTCTCTCTCTCTCTCTCTCTCTCTCTCTCTCTCTCCTCCCCCTCCCGGTTGCTGCCAGCGCTCGCTGCTCAGGATGCTTTATAAAACGGCGCCAAATCTCGCTTCCGCAGCAACTCCTTTGTTTTAGCAAGAGAGCGAAAGGAAGGGAAGACCGGAACTTTGTGAAAACTCTCCGGCGAGCTAGTAGTCAACGCGCTGTGCTTTAACAAGGAGCAAGACGGAGGGCCGCTCTGTCGTATGAACAGCAGCCAGGGACGGGTTCAGGAGGGGGCGTTGACGCAAGAGTTGCATACCTACAGAGGCAAAGTGCGACTTTCTGACTGCAAAAGAAAAGCTTAGGAAGCATTTCACGCATCGGGTGAGGTATTTGCGAATAAGTTAAGAAATTTTTACTTTTTGCTATACGAAGATTTTACCGAAAAACCGCTGGACAAAATCTCCACACTGAACTCAATTGAGGCTGGATGGTTTGAGCGACGTCCCCAAAACGATCCGAGTGCGACGATTCCTTCGAGGAAACCATCATCGCTAGTTGCAGTGTGCGTCCACTCTCGTCCGATAAGGTGCCCCGGTTCGCTCTGCAGACTGAGAGTCTCGCTCCGTCTCTCTCGCACCCACACGGGGCGCATTATGAGTGCGAGAGAGACAGAGCGACGAAAACGACTCCCGGAATCGGTCTGCTGCTTGGCGGCGGGCGTTATAAAGAAGATGGCACGCCGCCGATCGCCACTCAGGCACGATCCGCACCGCGACCACCGCGGCCACCACACTGCAGGGTGAGTAACGGGACAACGGCGGACGGACAACCGCCACCGCGGCTCCGGCTCGGTGGGAGGGGCGCGAGGTCCACCGGGAAAACTAGGGGGCGCAGCGCAGCGCTTTTCTTGAAGCGTGCTCAGCTCAGTGTGGAACCAAGTGTGCAGAACGCCACACGTGAAGTGGAGGTGTGGAATATTCAGCCGTCTCAAGTGCAAAAGTTTTCATTCTCCACACTTCAAGTGTGGCGAGTTCTCCCTAGGGGTACCTCAGTTGGAAAATAGACCACGTGTGTACACTGACTGGTGACGGGACTGAATTTACACTTTGATTAGAACGTAAATGTTGCGAAATGCGTTACAAAAATGCCGCAAATGGGGCAAATTTACGAGTTTGTGCCGGCTTTCTAAGTGCACCCAAAAAATGACTTCTTGGATCAAGAAAAATTTAACTTTTCTTCGTTTTTGCAAAAGAAAATTTCTTAATCCAATTTTTTTCCGCCTCATCGTTTCGTTCGTGATCGCACACCCACTCGTGTGAGTGACCGAATCGACGATGCCTCCCAGCAAAAGCAGATAATAAGCTTCTTTCGCTTGGAAGGGAGAGACAGTCGCGCCGGATGGGTTGCCTACCTCCAAGGCGCCCGTACGCACGCGGTGGTGCAAAATGGGTTGCCTACCTCCAAGGCCAGGGGAACCACCGTCAAGGTGTGAGATGGGTTGCCTACCTCGTAGGCTGCAATGCCGCGTGCGTCGCTGCCAGCACTGTAAATTGGTTTTGAAAAAAAAAAATTGACATGTGTTTTACAAAATGTTCTTGTACCAGCCATGGGAACCCTAAGTGTCCGGCACTCGCAACGAAAATTGGTTGCAAATGGTTCAAATAGGAAAAGGGCCTCTGAAACCTCACAAACTAGGACAGGCATTGCAAAGAAAATTGCATTTTTCTGTGAAGAGCATAAGCTAGTAACGTAAAGCTTATAAAGATTCCATATTTTTTAACGAAGCAATCATTTCGGCACGAAACGAAAGCTTATACCACGTGATCAGAACACCGCAGAACACTTCGCAAGGTTTTAATAACCGTGCGGTTCTGAGTGGGCTGGGAACGGGTCCGAACGTCTCGCAAACGGGTTGGGATGACTGCGTCAAATGCAGTAGGTGAGCGGATTGCGGCCGAAGCCCGTTGGCCTAGTGCACTAGCATGCTAGTTCAGCGCCTCGGGGGGGACTAGCGTGGGCTAGTCTGGCTGGCCCAGCCTGGCACTCTAAATGTTGTGTGCAACTTTGTACGAGACATCGCAGGTTTTTTCTGTACAAATAAACTACTTTTTGTGCGGTTTTCATTCAAATACCGCTCTCTTTCCCCAATTTTGTGCAAAATGACCTACGAATTTGTGGGAAAAGTTCATCAGCACAAAGAACTGTGTCGTGTCGTTATAAAATGTGTACAGAAACATTCGGTGTAGGCCTAGCCATGCTTCAAATCCGACGGTAAAAGTTTCCTTTGCCGGTCCCTCTCCCTTTTGAATGCCGAAATTCGGCCGGCCCCGGATCCCCCTTTGCGAGGGCCGACATTTGGCGGCCCGGGACGCCGGAGCGCCGAATTTGGGAATTGAAGATGGAGCGCCACTGTAGGGGCAGGGCATGGGCAGGGCAACTCGCCAATGCATTGGCAGTGCTGCGCGAGTCAACACCCCCGCAACTTTGGAGGTCTCCTCGTGACGGCCCTCTTGCCTTTCACCCTTTCGCCTCTTTCGACGTTTTTTCTGAATTATTCAGAGTGGCCCGGACGGCGCGGATCAAGTTTAAGTTGGTTTCTTCGGGGGCGCGGCGTCGGGGCCGCGACTCCTCCGCGACGCACTCTGCCTGCACACACTGATTCCGAGGGTCGTTTTTTCGTCGCCCTGTTTCCCCCGCACCCATACCGAACGCCCCACGAGTGCGAGAGAGACAGAGCGACGGAAACGACTCTCGGAATCAGTGTGCTGCCAGAGATGGGCTGGCCGGGCCTGGTTTCAGATGCATCGAAGTAATGGGGGCGAGGTGGGCAGGTCCTCGGTGGGGGGGGGGGGGGGGCTGCACTGCGCTGCACTAGGCGTGAAAATTTGACGAAAGCCCGGGCACCAAAGCAAAAAGCATCGCGTCAGCCCGCGCCACGCGTTCGAACACCTTTTTCCTGTCCCGGGGCTCTGCGAACCCATTTTCCTCTTACCGAGAAATATGCACTTACCTTGCACTCTTAAAATTGTTTGTTGTTTACGATAATGTACTTTAAGCACACACAGTCTTACAAAGAAAATACTTCGTAAGTTACGAACTTTTTCTCGGACTGTGGACCTATCTTTAGTCCATGGTGTGCAGTCAAATCGTCCAACTATAAGAAAACTGTGTTTGGACGAGAGTGTGGACGCTGCGTCCACTGGCCGAGAAGTGACGTCACCAAGGCCGCCACCTCGGAGGGCCCCACACTGTAGGCCGCGGAGTGGCTCGCGGCGAGGCGCGCCATGCGTGCCATCCATCTCGCCAAAACAAAGTCCGCGCCGCGCGAGTTCCGCGGCCAGTGGTTCCGTCTCTCTCGCACTCACGGGGCGAGCCGTGGGGCCGCGTGGGTGCGAGAGAGACAGAGCAGGCCAAAGCCGGCGCGGCACGCACGTGGCGCGTACGCCAGCCGAGCGATTCCGAAAGGGTCCGTTTCGTCGCTCTGTCTCTGTCGCACTCATGGGGCTCTCCATGAGGATGCGAGAGAGACAGCGCCAGGCCCAGCTTCTGAATCGCTCCGGCGGCGAGCGCGGCACCCTCGATGGCTCATTGACGGGCCCTCCTTGCAGGCCGGCCGGCCTCTGTCTCTCTAGCAGGCGTGGGGCCTGCCGGAGGGGTGCGAGAGAGACAGAGCGGCCAGCTGGGTGCCCTGCGCTGCCCCGCGCTGCCCCACGCCCGATAGCCCAGAGCACACAGATGAATCATTTTCCAAACTTTTCCGAGCGCGCGCCGCCGCGCCGCCGCCTTCTCACGAGAACGACGCTCTCCTCGCGCGGCTTTAAAAATTGCAAGACCTGATGATGAGGAGCTTGGCTAGCGGGGCGGGGCGTGGCGGGGCGGGGCGCGGCACGGCGGGGCGGGGCGGCCGGACCGGGCGGCGTGCGGCCCGCCGCCGCTGGGCGAGCGGCGAGGCGGGGCGGCCGGCGGCAAGGCGGCTATCGTTGTGTGTGTTTATAGATGACGCTGCCATGGACAGTGGCGTTAGTTGCGATGGTGGTGATGTCGGGCGTGCAGCACGCCGTGCACGGGGGCCTGCCGGGCCTGGCGCTGCCGGCCTGGGCGTGCGACTTCGCCCCCAGCGACCTCGAGACCCTCAACGAGCTCGGCGTCAACCTCACCGATGTCGAGAAGGACCTGCAGGACCTCAAGGAGCGCAAGCAGGACGCGCCGCGCACCGCGGCCGAGCGCCTGCGGCAGAACCTCACCTCGGCCGCGCGACGCTTCATGGACCCGGCCGCCTTCATGACCACGGTGAGTACGGAGTGACACAGAGGGACGCGAAGTGACGCGGAGTGACACAAAGTGATGCGTAGTGCCGCGCAAAGTGACACGGAGTGACGCGGAGTGACACAAAGTGATGCGTAGTGGCGCGCAAAGTGACACGGAGTGACGCGAAGTGATACAAAGTGATGCGGAGTGACGCGCAGAGTGACACGAAGGAACGTGAAGTGATGTGGAGTGACAGGAAGTGATACGAAATCATGTTGCCTGATGCGGGGGTCGACGTGGATAGTGACGCCGAGTGTTGCGTGGAGTGACGCGAATAGTGACAACGAACTGAGCTAAGAACGAGTGACGCGTGCAGGTGTGTTTGCCTGAGGCCGCGACAACAGCCGCAGGCAGCAAGGTCAAGGCCACGGCCACCTGTGGAGCCGCGAGGCAGCGCGAGGGCCAGGGCGGATTCGGGGACGGGCTCTGGGGAGGAGGGGGATGCCGCAAAAGTTGCCTACTTACAGGGGCGAAGTGAGACTTTCGGCCTGCCTCTCGGGGGAGGGCAACGACTCCGCCGCCTGATCCGCGGCCGAGCGAGCGAAGCGAGCGGCATCGGACAATGGGGGTGGCCGCGCTAGTGCGCTGCACTGCGCTGCACCACGCGCGTGCCCGTGCGAGTGTTTGTCTCAGCGTTTGTCGGCGTGCGTGCGCCCGCGGGTCTGTCTTGGGCTCGCCGCCGACCACCGTCGGCACGCCTTTCTCCTTGTTGGCCTTCTGTTAGTGCGGGGGCGGCGGCGGGGGCGGCAGCGGGGGCGGCAGCGGGGGCGGCTCGGCCACTGCCCCGGCCCCTTGGCGGCAAGCCTTGGCCGCGCGCGACAAGCCTAGTGGAAGCCACCTCCAAGTCCAAGGGGGTTAGGGACACAGCGCTCCACAGCCAGGGCACAGCGGCGCGGCTTTGCGTCGGTCATGGACCCGGAGGCTCGGGCCGGCTCGCCACGGCGCGGCTCGGCTCGCCTCCACTCGGCACGGTTCGGTTCGACTGAGAGGCCGCGGCCGATGCGACGCAGAACCTCGATAAAAGCAGTGGAATAACGCCAAAGAGATTAGACACTGGAAAAGGAATAGCGAATGGTCACTCCCCCAGCGTGTTGACAACACATTTTCTTCGTGTTTGGATTATTGGCTTGACTCTAGCTGCCTGGCAATGGAACCACAAATTGTAGTCGAATCACGTCGAATCAGTCAAGTGTACAGAAAATTATCATCTCCCAGGAGGAGTATGAGTGTACTGTATACTTTGACCCCCCCGCGCCCCCTTTCCCTCCCCCTCCTCCTTTTTCCTAATCATTTGGCAGCGGCGGCCGCCCGAGCAGGTTTCGACCGCATTCTCGCGAGCATGGATAGATGCGTGAGGGGCGGGGAGGGGGCAGGCAAGCCAAGGCAAGCAAATCATGGATGTAGTTGGCAATAAACTGGTGACGGTCTGGAGGCGGTGCACCTGTGCACCTTTGCCCAAGAGCGGCGCGGCGTTTCGTAATGCGGTTCGGTGTCAACGGGGCGGGACCTTCTTTCTCTCTCAATCTGGGCCCGCAGTGACCGAGGCGATCCTCTTTTGGTCAGAGCTAATTAATTTCATCGGATGATTGATTCGATAACGAGACTATCGCTGCAAATAGACCGCGAACCGGCCGCGGCTTCCCTGCTTGTTGTTGACTTGAAGTGACGCCACCAGAGAAAGGAGATGACTTTCGTCTTCACTCACTGCGTCGCGGCGTCGTGGCCCCCTCAACTCGGACGTTCTTTTGAATGAGGCCCCCAGGGAACAGGAAAAGGTCACGTTGACGTATTAAGCCCTCGTCAGGTACAAACTATTTAGTTTGTGTAATAGTTAGTAATAGTTCGTAAATTACGAAGTATTTCCTTCGTAAGCTTACGTACGTATGCTCAAAATACTTTGTCATACTTCACTTCGTGAGGCTTAAATCGTTAGTAAGGTTTTCAGAGTGTGAATTAAATTTGATGATCATGTAGTCGCGCTCTGCATGCATCGGTGATCCCTTACGACCCGACGTTGACTACACCCTTAAAACCTTGCGAAGTATTTTGAGCATACATACGTCCAAACTAATTCACTTTGTTACACGAAGAAATAGTTCGTAAATTACGAAGTATTTTCTTTGTAAGCTTACGTACGCTCAAAATACTTTGTTCTAATAAACTGCTTTGCTTTGTAAGGCCTGAAATAGTTTGTAAGGTTTTCTCAGTGAAAGTTCTTTGTTCTGCCAAAATCACTGAAACAAATTTCGAGTGTCGGCGTGTCGCAGCTGCTACCTCGCGATCGCACTTCAATGAGACTGTACTCGTCTATACTCGCCACGTGGAGTGACAGGCTGAGGCTATTCCATCGATCAGATAAACGCCGCGCTCGCGAAATCACTTGCCACACCCGTTCAATGCCAGAATCGTCTCGATTCTTGCGCAGTGCTAGCCCCCTCCCTCTCTTTCTTTCTCCCCTCACCCCTTTCGCTCCGCGACCACCGGGCCAGCTGGTCTGCTTGTCTGCTAGGCCGGCCAAACACGCCGCCAAACCCGCCGACAAGCCGCATAACTGCCAGTGGCGTGCACGCCGTGACGCTGCAAGGCCGATGACCCGCCAAAATCTGGCGGTACTGGAATAACACAGATAAATTCCCACCAAAAAAAAAAAAAAAGCGTTGCTAAAAATGGGAACTTTAAAAAACGCGCGCCTACATATAACTTAAGAAAAATAAAGTCAAATAAAATGAAATGAGGCTGGCCCGAGTTTGCAAGTTATCCGAGTAAGTACAGACCAGACTAAATTGGTCGGCAGCGTGGAGGGAGGGAGGGAGGGAGGGAGGGAGGCTGGGGAGACTGGGAGACTTAAGAGACAGCAACGGAGGCGCTTTTGCAGGTACGCTCTGCCGCCTATCTCCTCTCGCCGGACAGCACACAGTGTGCCACACACACGGCATTCCACACTCACACACACATGCACCTACATGCACACGCACATACACGCACACGCACATACACACTTCGGGATTTTCCTTCGGCCCTCCCCGCCGCCCGGCCAAGCACAAGCGTGCCCTGCCGAGGCACCACCGCGCCGCCGCCCCGTCCGTTGACAAACAAAAGTAGTCCATCATTACAAATGTTTTATCATTTCCGCGTGGGAGAGCAACACCGCCGTGCTGCCCTCTGCCGGCCAGTGAGTCAGCATCCCCTGACCAGCGAGTCAAAAAAGAGGCGTACCGCATCGCCCTCTGTCTCTGTCGCACTCATAGGGTTGCTATAGGGGTGCGAGAGAGACGGAGCGACGAACCGATCTTCCGAATCGGTCGCCTGACGGCCTGACTGCTTATCGGCGCTGCAAATGTACAGCAGCAGCATCGCACAGCGAGCAGGGCAGGGCAGGGTGGAGCGGGACTCGGCAAGCCAGGGCAGGGCAGGGCAGTGCAGGGCACGGCACGGCGCGGCAAGGCGTTAGCTGCCGATAATCAGGTCAACATGCCAGTTTTAGATAACAACCCTGCCGCTGCTGCGGCCTGTGGGAGCCACCCTCTCTGACGGGACGCGCGCGCGCACGTGTGTGTGTGTGTGTGTGTGTGTGTGTGTGTGTGTGTGTGTGTGTGTGTGTGTTCGTGTGTGTGAAATTGGGGGTCCAGCTAGCGCCACTCGCCCTATCAGCCATCGTGCCTCGCTCCCCCTCATATAGCCCCCTCTCTATCATCCTACTTTTTTCCTCGACAACTTCTGGGGGATTCCCCACGCCGGGGGGGGGGGGGGGGGTGATGGAGAGAGAGGAGGGGGGGGGGGTAGACGCAAGAAGGATAGATAGAGAGTGAGTGGCGGGGTCGCGTTCTCGCGAGGTCACGGTGTTACCAAAACGCAATGCACATTGTACAGACAGAGGTGAGCCGACCGGCGCGCCGCGGCGTTGCCCCGCGGTGCGGCAGAGACACCTAATCATGGCCACCTTTGGCACCGTCGGCACCGCCGCCACCTTGCCGCTCTGCCGCGTCACGCGCGAAGTCCGCGGGGTCCACCGCCCGGCGGACCCGCGACCGCGCGGACGTCTTCGGGGACGTCGTCGCGGACGTCTTTGCGGATGTCGTCGCGGACGTCGTCGCGGACGTCTTCGGGCCACTCTTTCCGTCTTTCCGCCACTCGAAAGGCGAAGCCTCCCTTCATCTCGGTCCCCCACTCACCTGGAAAACCTCGGATAGGTTTGTGTCCAGACCTCCGGACTGTCAGCAAAATGAGGGAAAAGAAACTAAAAAAAAAACAAAAAAACATGAAATATGATGCGAACAGAGCAGGACAGATTGGCATGGTACTGGACCAGACTCATTCATTATGAAGGCCTGCGGGTCACGCCAAACGGAATCGAACGACCTCTTTTATCCACTTTCGTATTTCCTCCGGTTAATATCGCGGTGATATCGTGGGAAGCGCTGCGGGCACTTACTTATCTAGCCGTTCGCGAACGTTCTTTCTCTTGTTGACCACTCCACTGGCAGGACCAGCCAGCTCCACGCTCCGCAGCGCGCCGCTCCCAAGACGGCCAGTGGCCACACTTGGTTATCGGGCGACGATAAGCCGGGCGCGTGATCGCAGCCACCTGGACACGCGGGCCGTGTCGGGCCGTGTCGGGCCGTGTGGTGCAGACGGTCCAGACTCACCCGGAAGGGCGTCCACGCCACGCCGCCACCCCTTTCTCGCTTTTCTCGCCTTTCTCCCCGCCACCCTGCCCGACTCGCTGCCCGACTCGCTGCCCGAGGAGGCGACATCGAGGGGTCCTACTCAAAAGATCTTGTGTAGGCGCTCCCGCTGTTCAAAGAATCTTACCTGCAACGCAAGCGAACTTTTCACTAAGTTTGATCGCTTGAGACAGCTGCAAATCAAAATAATTTGTGATTTAATAAAGTCGCACAGCTTGAAGATGAGAGATCCGAACGAAGCAAGGGCGGCTTGTTTTGCCTTGGTGACCCATTTCGCCGGCAGCGCTGCAGCGCGATGACCTACACTGTGCGCGCCGCGCGGCCTGTGCAGGCTGCGGCCGCTTTGCGGGATTCACAGGCATCAGCGGCTCAGCTCCGCACGTACGGATGCACTGTAAGGAGAAGCCAGAGACGGTTTCAGAGGGGTGGGCGGTGGGCAAAAGTTGCTTTTCTAACGATGGAAAAGATGCGTTTTTATGTCTGTCTACCTTCTTGGTGGCTTCCCCGCCCGCGCACGCACGCGATACTGTGTGTGTGTGTGTGTGTGTCTGTGTGTCTGTGTGCGTGCGTGCGTGTGTGTGTGCCGGGGCGGACGCCAACACTCCCCTTTTCCGAGTTTGCTGCTTCTCGGCCTTGGCAGGGTGGCCGGCCTTGCCTTGCCTCGCCTCTCCTCCACTGCACGGGGCGGCGGCACCGCTAGCGGCACGCGCGGCCGTACATTGTACCACTTAATAACTGTATCGTCGACACACTGTTATCGCAACGCGTCTTATCGGCCGCTGAGTCAACCAAAGCCACGCGAAGCCAAAGACAGAATCGCTTCCGCTGCGCAGATTTCGATACCCCCTTCCCCCTCTCCTCCCCTCCTTTACGCTCCCCTCTGCCCCCCCCCCCCCTCGCGCTCCGCCTCCCTTCGATTACTCGACCGCTCCTGCTTTCGATTCTTTTTTTATCTCCGTCATCCCAATTCATGCTTCCTCACTGTCGTCACTCAAACAGAAGCAACACCCTACGGTCTTCATTTTGCAGTCGAAAATTTAAAGCAATAATTTGCAATAACTACTGCTTAAGGAATGCAATAAACATTTTACCAATGTTTTGCAATAACTACTGCAAGAAAAATACAGCAAAAAGATTCATGGTGAAATTTTGAAAAAAAAAAATTCACCATACAGGATCTTTTATTACTAAAATTGGCAATCGGTTTTAGCATTAAAAAGGCAATGACTAAAATGTAGCACTCCAGAGGGTGGTAAGTCGTGGGAATTGCAAAGTATATTTAATTGCCACATTTCGTAGTAAAACCGTAGTAAAAGGCTCATTGCGAAATGATTAACAGTGTGGTCGTTTTGCAGCCCGAGCTGATCGCCAGGGAGGGCTACCCGGTGGAGGTGCACAAGGTGGAGACGGACGACGGCTACATCCTGGAGCTGCACCGCATCCCCATGAAGGACTCCAAGAAGCCCCCCGTCTACCTGCAGCACGGCATCCTCTGCTCGTCCTCCGACTGGGTCATCGCGGGGCCGGAGAAGGGTCTAGGTGAGGCGGAGGAAAGGACAGGACTGCTTTTGTGGGCTTTGCCGAGGATTTCGTCCGGAGGATTGGGTTACACCGTGAAATCAAGGGTGGAGAACAACCTCAACAAACCACACGCGCAAAATGAACCTGACGCAGCGTCACCTTTCTGTACTGCGAAATGAAGTCAACTCCAGGGGGGCTGCTGGGCCGCTAAGTAGGACAGGGGGTCGCGACCGGGACGAGGCCTGCAAAATCCGGCCCGGCATTGCGGTTTGCGTAACCGCCGCTGATACCGAGACGACAGCCCCGAGGCGGCGCGGCGCGGCGCGGCGACCCTTCTTGGACAGGGATTCACGCAGATCCGCCGGCGAGGCTATTTTCGCATCGCCACTGACTGCGTGTGCGTGACACGACACGGGCAGGCCGTCTGGGCCGTCACTACCAGTCCCGCAGTCTCCGCCTCTCTCACACCTATACGGGTCGTCCCGAGGGTCGTCCCATAAGTGCGAGAGAGACGGAGCGAAGTCTCTCCTTATCAGTCTGCTACCGGTTCCCCATTGGCGGGGGCGGGCTTCAAACCATCACCCGAGCTCACCGGGCGCCTTTTGACCAGCGTCTTTTTGTCTGAAAGTCTGCTTCGGTGCACAGTGGGCCAGTAGACCAGCCCAGGCGGCCAAATCTCTAGACGCGTTTTGAGCTAAAGTAGCTAAATGGGACTCGAACCTAACGCGTGACCCCACATGGCTTTCTCTCCGAACGAGGAATCCATTGGCCAGGTTCACTCGTTTGGTTTGACGCCTGTGAAGCGACTCTGGAGCTTCAAATGTGTCTAGACTTTTGGCCGCAGGCGTTGGTCTTCTGGCCCTCTGTGGACAGCAGAGCTACCCGGAGCGTGGCATCAACCGGGAATCCAAAGACGGCCAACAAGTGCCCTCTCCTTCCACGATTTTGTCATAAAGCGACAACAAATTTGACAGTGTGTGGTCCGCAGCCTACATCCTCCACCGCCTCGGCTACGACGTGTGGATGGGAAACTTCCGCGGCAACCGCTACTCGCGGCGCCACCGGGACCTGGACAACATGGACCCCGACCGCAACGTGCGCCAGTTCTGGGACTTCAGCTTCCACGAGAAGGGCGTGTACGACTTGCCCGCCTGCATCGACGCCATCCTGGAGCACACGGGCCACTCCGACCTGCTGTACGTCGGCCACTCCATGGGCACCACGGCCTTCTTCGTCATGCTGAGCGAGCGGCCCGCCTACAACGTCAAGGTGCGCGCCATGAGCGCGCTCGCCCCCGTCTCCGTCATGACTCAGGTACGTCGTGCCAGCCTCGCTGCTGCCACGCTTGGCTCACAGTGGTGCACAGTGGGCCAGAAGACGGGGTGACGCTCGGTCGAAATCCCGGGTTTGAGTCCCATTTAGCGACTCTGGAGCTCGAAACGCGTTCGAGATTTTGACCGGGACACCCCGTCTCCTGGGCCACTGTGTGCCGAGGAGACGTAAATGGTTTTCACCGTTTATCAAATTTGAAAACAACAGAAAAAGGGAAGGGGTCATGAATGAAGCCGCGGCGCTGCCTGCGGCATATGCCGTCCCGTTTATCGCGGTTCAAGGTTTAGTGTAATAGTACTGCTCCTTCTCGAGCGCTCCTAGAAACAAACGAAGCTGTGATACAGTGTCGCACCTCGTGCGCGCTGCCGCTCTGCCGCTCGAGTGGGCGGATGGGTGTAAACACGATGACGTCCTCGGGGGATGGGACGGCCGGGACGAAACTAGAGTAGTTTTCGTCACTCTGTCTCTCTCGCACTCATGGGCGCCCCCTATAGGTACGAGAGAGACACAGCGACAAAAGCGACTCTCTGAATCAGTCTACTGGACGGCACCCGCGCGTGGCGAGGCCCGGCTAGTTTATCGCTGTCAATTGCAAAAATAGATAAGGCGCAATCTAAGTAGTGTGTTGTCACGAAAGGCCTCCTCTCGATGGCCCACTGTAAGACAGGCTGCATTGCGCACTTCTCTGTTGAGCTTCTGCACCCTCTTATCTTTTGTTCTGTCCAAATCTTAGAAGCAACGTAGCACTACTTGCCTTTTTTCTTTGCCCTACTGGACGCAAGATTTCACCAGTTGCTGTCTCCTTTGATGCTCTTTAGTGCTCTGTTCTCAACTTCCTCTCCAGTGCCTTCTGTCAAACTAAGTGTGGAGAACTTTACAGTTCCTGATGCGGAGCAATTCTCCATACTTGGACGTGGAGTTTGCAGCCACCACACTTCAAGTGTGGAGTGGATCACGGAGACCCTATATGTGGGCGTGGTGCAAACGAACTCCACACTTGAAGTGTAGCGACTTCTGCAAAGTGCGGCGACTGCGAATTCCACACCTCCGCGTCTCAAGTGACGGGAGTTCTCCACACTTGCACAGTGGGCCAGAAGAGCAGTGGAGGCGGCCAAAACTACGCGTTTTGAGCTCCAGTGGCCAAAGGGACTCAAACCGAACGCGTGACCCCACCTATGGATTGGTCTCGGAACGAGGAATCTATTGGTGGGGTCATACGTCCTGTTCGACTCCTGGTTAGGTTACTTTGGAGCTCAAAACGCGTCTGGAGTTTTGGCCACCTCCGCCGGTCTTCTGGCCCACTTTGATTTCCATCCTCCCTCTCGAACGGTGCCGGAGTCTAACTGGGCGGCTTGGCGTGTGAACAGGTTCAGTCTCCTCTGCTCAGGGTGGCGGCCTTGCTAAGCACGCCGCTCGGCGCCGCGGCTAACCTGGTGGGCATCCGGGAGTTCCTGCCCAACAACCTGCTGCTCACCCTGGCCGGCCAGGTGCTGTGCAGGGAGAAGGCCATCGTGCAGTCCCTCTGCTACAACATCATGTTCCTCTGCACCGGCTTCAACTCGCCGCAGCTCAACCTCGTAAGTTCCCCGGCATCATAGAGTGTGCACGGTGGAAACTGTTTCTGGTTTTCCCAAAAGAAATGCCTATGTCTTTATTATAGGCTACCTCGGAAATACAGGAACCGCTTTCACTTTTGCTGTCTGGCACCTCGAAACATCTCTCGCATACTCAAAATTTCTCACTCTAAATAAACGATGATGCAGTAAATGCAGTTAGTGCACAAGTGCAAGCATAATTTTTCCATCGTTCCCAATTTAGATTAAGTTTTTTCTACGTCACGGCTAGATGCAAAAAAGAAACCTTGATGATACAAAGATATAAACGTCGCTCCTGCCATGTTTGGAGGACTTTGAGAATTGCAAGTGCTCTTCTAGAGGCTCGAGTACAGGAGGGCGTGGTGGACTTCACACTCACTCTCATCCTCGCACACCTGCAGGTTGAAGGTACAGTCCGAACATGGGACTGCCATGTTGCGCTTGCCTATCAGTTGCAGTGAATTTGATTGTCCCGCACTGCAGTGCACGTACAAGTGTCAAGTGAGGAGTGGAAGAACTCCACACTTCCTGGTGAAGAATAATTCTCCAAACTTGGATGTGTGGAGTTTGCAGTCTCCCTACTTGAAAAAGTGAAGCTCACAGAGTCCCGATCTTTTTTGGCAATGGACGAACCTGAGTCTCCACAAGTGTGGAGACTGGAAGCTCTGCACTTCCACGAGTAGTGCGGAGACTGCAAATTCGTCCCCGCCGCATTTCAAGTGTGGAGTCCTCCACACTCGGTTTGGTCTGTGGAAGCGCTGCACTATCAGGCGCTGTCCGCCCACCACTTGACGTCATGGGGCAGGCCAGGGCAGGCACACTGCTGAGCCCGCAGCCCACAGCGGCCGGCGGGCTCAATGTCGTGGCTTAGACCGATCGCTGAGGCACTGCTGGCGGGCGCTGGCGCAAGCCGTGGCCCTGGTCCGGACCAACCCGCGCAGCGGCACAACGACGGCCTTGTTTTCAGAATCAAGTCAACGCAGTGCGGGAGGAAAATTGTGTCAATTTGATTCAGTTCAGAGGCGATTTTGGTTCCGTTTACACCCATATGGTCAAAGGTGACTTCGATCAGGTGTGGCCTACTTTCCGGGCAGGCCGATAGGGCAGCCTGCGGCCTCTCCTAGCATTCCCCGGTGTTGCAGTGGTGGATCCAGAAGTGCGGCCGGGCTGGGGGAAGGGGGGACCGTAACCCAACTCAAACTGTACCGAAAACACGAAACTGCCACCCGATTGTGAGCCCAAGAGTAGAGAACTCCACACGTGAAGAATGGAGACTGCAGTGTGGAGTTCTCCACACTTGCTTTGCCAGTGCCAACTCCAACTCCACTAACGGCCTTTGTTGCAGACGCTGCTGCCCACGCTGCTGGCGCACATGCCGGCGGGCGCGTCCGTCAAGACGCTGCTGCACTTCGGGCAGCTCATCAAGAGCAAGGCGTTCCGGCGCTACGACTACGGCATGCTGCGCAACATGTGGCACTACGGGTCGCTGCAGCCGCCCGCCTACAACCTGGGCAACGTTCGCGTGCCCGTGAGCGTGCACTACAGCGACAACGACTGGGTGGCCGGCCCCGCCGACGTCATCAACCTCTACAACTCGCTGCCCAACCGCATGGGCCGCCACCGCGTGCGCCTGGCCCAGTTCAACCACGTCGACTTCCTGTGGGGCGTGGACGCGCCCTCGCTCGTCTACGACACCGTCACCGAGATCCTCGAGTCGCAGGCCGCGCGCCACCCCAACCGGCGCTGAGGCTTGCACCAAGGCCACGAAGCGTCGCGTCCTAGCACAGTGGGCCAGAAGACCGGTGGAGGCGGCCGAAACTCTACACGCGTTTTGAGCACCAGAGTCGCTAAATGGGACTCGAACCGAACGTGTGACCCCACCAATGGATTGCTCTCCGAACGAGAAGGCCATTTCGTGGGTTCACACTTTCGGTTCGAGTCTTGTTAAGTGGCTCTGGAGCTCAAAACATTTTGGAGTTCTGGCCGACGGCACCGGTCATCTAGCCCACTGTGCGCAGTGAAACCAAGAAGTGTGGAGACCGGAAACTCTCTGCACTTCCAAGTATGGAGTCTGCGATGTTGCTCCCCACCAGGAAGCGAGGAGTTATCCACACTTGGCTTCACAGCGTCCCAATAACACGAGGGTATTGTAAAATCTACAAAGAAAGTCTTCGTGCTATGAATCTAGATCCTTCGTAATCCGAAGCAATTCCGCAAGGCCTTCACTTTCTTTCTAAGGACGAAGCAGATGCGTCGTGGCTTCTTTTTGAAGTGCGGTGGAACGGCACCTGTACAAGCGGTTTACTTTAATTTAGTGTTTCGATTAAGTTTGGCCAAGTCTGGGCGTGAAGGGGGAGTGGGACCCCACTTGCCAAGAACCTCTCATGATCTCCAGCAGCAACCGCGCGACGGCACGTTGCTGTGGGGACCACACTAGTCAAGTTTGGCTGTGCCGCCTGACAGAGGCCCCATTTCGTGGTCGCGAGGTTGAGCAACTCGGTGCTAGAAATAATTTTAGAAGGACGAGCCCAGGGCTGTACGCTGCCTGAGTCCTTTCGACTCGTGCCGCTCTCTCCTAGCAAAAAATGCCTTTGTAAAATATTATTTATGATTGTATAAAGATGTAAATATGTAAATAGATATTTATGAGTGAACCAATACTAGTGATGTAAACGTTTTCTATTGAAAAGACTTCTTATTCTGTCTCGTTGGATTAGCGTCCAGTCCTTTTCAGTATTTATACAAATTACTTTCCACGCATACTGTTCGTGCACTTGCTGGGAACGTTTGTCTGCTCGCATTTTTTTTTTGACGGAATAAACAGTTTCTGCCTGAACAATGGTCATTCTGCGCTTACTGCGCAACACCCGGACATCCATAAAATGGTGAGAAGCTGAACGGAACACATCACTTGTTCATTTGGTTCATTTGGCACTGTCATTGGAAGTGCAGAGTTTGCTGTCTGCACACTTGTGTGGCACACATACAAAACATCGTATCTACCGTGGAGTTCCCTATGAAGATATGTTGTTCTGTAGACGATCACTTACTTTTCAAGTGTGAAGTTCTCCACTGACGATGAACACGCGGCCAGCTCCAAGGCTGGCGAGGATGGCGCCTTGCGGGCCGGGCTAGGCCGTGCCGCAACGCACGCGTGGCTCGTGGCTGCCTACCCGCCAGGCGGTCCATACCATTACCATTACCGGCTAGACCCCAACTGACTAGCCCAGCCCCATTGCAGCCCCAGTGTAGCCTCTCAAGTCAGTTACGGTCACACCGCGCCGGGGAGATAGGCCACTCTTTGGGCACGTCGCGTGGGAGGCGTGCAAAAGCAAGACGCACTCTGATCCCTTATCGTGAGGGGGATGAAATGAGTCGGCGGACAGTTGTTTGGGAGTTGAGTGGGCTGAAGGTTTGCCAGGACTTTGCCGGGGGTCGGCCGCCACCAAGGGGCGCACGAGGGCCAATAAGCAAGCGGCCCACAGTGGGCCAGAATACCGGTGGAGGCGGCCAAAACTCCAGACGCGTTTTGAGCTGCAGTGTCGCTAAATGGGACTCGAAACGAGCATGTGACCCCACCAATGGATTGCTCTCCGAACGACGAATCCATTGGTGGGGTCACACGTTCGGTTCGAGCCGTGTTCAGCGACTTTGCAGCTCAAAACGCGTCCAGAGTTTTGGCCGCCGCCATCGGTCTTCTGGCCCACTGCGCGACCGGCCGGACAATAATACTTCGCCCATATTTGGGGCCCCGGCCCCCGGCCCTCAACCCTGCGCGGGCCTGTCAGCGCGCGGCCGGGCTGGAAAGACGCGTTGGTACGAGCGGTGTGCTGCTTGCCTGCGGCTTGCCCGCGGCTGCGGGGCTGGGTGGCCCCACCGCGACCAGCCACTCACCACGCACAGGCTCGTCGAGCACAGCGAGCACAGCAAGGACAGCAGGCAAAGCTTCCCGCCCGAGGGCGGCGCTCGTGAGGTCCGCTCGCCGAAAAGCCGCCGACGACAAGGCTCTCAAAACCAGAGGCGTGTGTTTTTATTTTGCTTTCGGCGTGTGTGTTGGTGAGGACTGCGCAGGACACCACGTCACCGTCCCTCCAGAGAGCCATAATTACCCCCAGCTGATCCCCGCCGGGCCGCGCGGGGCGATCTCGGTAAACGCGGTATTAGGGGGACTTAGGTGGGCTCGAGGCGTGACCCGTGTGGGTGTCGCCGCGCACAGTGGGCCAGAAGACCGGCGGAGGCGGCAAAAATTCGAGATGCGTTTTGAGCTCCAGAGTCGCTAAACAGGACTTGAACCGAACGTGAGACCCCACCAATGGATTCCCCGTTTGGAGAACAATCTATTGGTGGGGTCACACGTAATGTTTCTAGACTTCTTACTGGACCAAAGCTCGTTTATTTTTGTCAACGTTTCGGGCGGTGTGCACCACCCTTTGCTGCTCCCTGGATCCACGCCCGGCCAGGGCATTGACTCCAAATCCACATTGAGGTAGCAAGAGGGTGGTATCGATAGTATGCTGCGTGAATAACTTTGCCGTGTAATTTATTTCCTTTCCTTTGACAGGACATTTGACATTTTGCATTTTTCCGAGAAACCTCAGAGAGCAATGCTTTGCCAACCGCAGTTCAGGTCGGTCCCACAAAACTTCCCCTCCGAGTGCTTGGGAGGCTTCCAACGGTTCGCCTCAAGAAGGGCGCTCCGGTCTTTGCCCCCCTCTCGAAGCGCAGCATGACTCGGTCTCGGCCAGGAGGCCTTTCAGTTCAGCGTCACGCCCCTCCCTCGCAAAGGTAAAATTAATATCACAGAATTGTTTTGACACTACGTCTGGTTTTGGATGCAGGCGGTGGCGTTGTCCCCTCAGCCGAGAATTCGTCTCGCGAGACGTGCCACGTCCCTCGCCGTCATTTTGTTGTTGTTGTTGTTGTTGTTGTTGTTGTTGTTCCTGGCCCTCTTGCCGCCGTGCCCCAGGTACTTGGCGGCCTGCCTGTGGCGCCGTGAGTGCGCTCCGTGGTGGCCGCCGTACTTGGTCTTGCCCTTCTTGTGCTTGTCGGCGTGCCCCAGGTACTTGGCGGTCTTCTTGTGGCGCTGCGAGTGCGCGCCGTGGTGGTCGTGGTGGCCGCTGTGCTTGCTGGACGCGCCGTGCCCCATCTTGCCCTTCTTGTACTTCTTGCCGTGCCCGTGGTGGTGGTCGTGGTGGTGGCCGTGGGTCTTGTGGTGGCCCGCGCCGTCGTGGTGCTCGTCGTAGAACTCGTGCTTCTTGTGGTACTCGTCCTGCAACATGGTCGTGCTTCACTTCACAGATGACGGGGAACAAGAACACATGGAGGACAGCCTAGTGGGGTGACCCAACCGCCGTCAGTGGGTGCCGGATCCAGAACCGGCCATCCGAGATCGAGACGTTACCTTCTTGTGCACGTTGTGCTCGCCCTTGGTGGTGTGGCCCTTCTTGTGGTGGCCCTCCTCGTTGTACTTGGCGCCCTTCTTGCCCTTCTCCGACTTCTTGTGCTCCCCGAAGTGGCTGGCGCCTTCCTCGTGCTTCAGCTTCTTGCCCTTCTCGTCTTTGTACTTCTTCTTGTGCGCCGCCTTGTCGTGGTGGCCTTTGGTCTTCTTCTTGTACGCGTGCTTCTCCTTGTATCCTTTCTTCTTCTTCTTGCCTGCGTCAGGGCGGAAACACTGTGAACTCGGTTTTTTTTTCACTTGACGTGTGGTGTCGCTACAAACTGAAGTGTGTACTCAGTATGCAGCTGCATGCGCACGCAGTGTACAGCATATACTAAGGTAGGAGCATACACCCACCTGAGATATGTGTATACACCTACATAGGGTAGAGGTGCATAACTACACAAGGTAGGTGTATACACCTGTCTACTAGCAAGCACCTGTAGATGCACTGAGTACACACTTCAGTTTGTAGTTCAGTGGGGACTTCTCGTGGGCTAAGGGTGCAAACCCGGCACTTCCGAGAGCGCAGACTTAAAATCATTCCACACCTCCACATTTCAAGAGCGGAGCTCCTTATTTGGTTTGCAGTGAAGGCAGAGTAGAGTTTTGTAAAAGTGTCACCCACCTTTCTTCTTGTGTTCCGCCTTGTGGTGCTTCTGGCCGCCGCCCTTCTCCTTGCCACTGTGGTGGTCGTGCTTGTGTTTGTGCGAGGCTTCCGGTTGCAGATCGTCTCCGTCTCCACGACCGTCCTTCGCATCCCCGGTCACTTCAGCCTGCAGGTCCGAGAACTGCTGCTTGATGTCCTCGCCCATGGCCTTGACGATGTCGGACTCCTGGAAGCATTTCGAAGATTCACTTTACTATTCAATGGGGATTGGGTCTCAAAAAATGTGCCCAGCCCCACCGTTGTTACAAAGCTGCGCCCGGAACACGCACCTTCTCTGTTTTACCTTTGCTTTTTCGCATCTTCTTTTTCTTCTTGCCTCTCTTTTTCTTCCTTTTCCTGTCTCCGCGGTGATCGGCGTCTCCGTTGGGGGTGGACACTGTTTCGCCTTCCTCTTGGTCCTGTCGAGAACATATGAACGATTTCAGAAGGTCCATATTACTCCATTCAAACGCCTTGCGTAAATAGTCAGCAAATGATTCTACTTTAATCGTACTCGCACCTTGCTGCTTGGCTCCGCACTGTTCTCGGCAGTATTTTGGCCGGTCGATGGGTCTTCTGGCTCGTCCTCTGTCTCACCAGACTCGACGGAGTTTTCACCGTCCGATGACTCACCATCCTCCGTCCTTGGCGGGCGTCTCCTTTTCTTCCATTTCCGTTTCCTCGACTTCTTTTCGGACATGCCAGCCTTATCCTCTGAATTATCCTGAAGGACGGAGCAGTCATTGTGCATTTCTGTACAGTGCGTGGTAAGTCCGCCTTATATGACACAGACATTGCAAAACAATGAAGAAATACGACAAACTAAAACCAGTCCTGAAACAAACAAAAATACCACTACTGCCAGGTTTAACGGTAGGATGTCTCGCTCTTTAGCGCGCATTTTCTTTGCTTCTTTTGAAGCAGTGCCGGACCGTTCCTCTGCGAACGCAGTTAATAATTTAACTCTCACTGTCATCCTCTTTCGCCCACGGCCGCCAGGAAGTCCTTCACGACAGCAGCTGCATGCCACTCGCTTCCGCCGCCGGGTGCCCCGCGCAGCGGCTCTCTCTCTCTCTCTCTCTCTCTCTCTCTCTCTCTCTCTCTCTCTCTCTCTCTCTCTCTCTCTCTCTCTCTCTCTCTCTCTCTCTCTCTCTCACTTTTTTCCCCAACAACGCCTCATGAACAACAGCCGTAAGGGCGTTAACTGCCCCCTCTCCCGCTCCCCTTTACTCATTTCAACCCTACTCATCCCAACCCCATACAACTCCCCGCTCCGTCCATAAAGTCAATTCCACGAACAGACAGAGCTCCATGATGCGAGCGAAAAGCAAGGTGCACTGAAAACTTTAGTGTGCACTGACTGAGAGTGGGTTTTCAGTGTGGTGGGTTTCGTAAAATCGGCCGGAAAGGTTGGGAGTGAAGTGTGCGACAAGTGGATAGGGTTGAGAGCGGGAAGGCACAGCGAACGGGTGGAGTCGCGACTAGTCGCGTCGATCCATTCAAATTACTCCGTAGGCAACTAGTCAGCGCAGACTTGCTGGTACGAATTCCACGGACAAGGAAGATTTCCTGCCAGGCGTCGGCGTTCGCCAGTCCCATGCGATTGGCAGAGAAAAAATCTGTTATTCTCAATTATTACAGAAACACTGCGGCAAATCTAAGGTCTTTCATTAGCGCACTGATCCCTACGCCCTTCTTGAAGTATGCAGAGGAAACTCCCCGATGCATTAAGATAGGAGGCGAGGCTCTTCTTTTGTCTTTGCTTCTGAGTCATGTATACTGTAGGCGCGCAGCCAAAAAAAAAACAAGACCTTTTCCTTTCTCAGTCCCTAAATAACTTTGGCCAGACCTTGGCCCGACGATGTGGCTGGTCGGGTGGGGTACCTGTCTCGTATTTTTGGCTGGAGCAGAGATTTGACAGGCTGGCCAGGCGATAAACTGTCCGCGACCCACTCAGCGCGGTGAGCCCACGCATCCAAAGAGTTCGTCAGAAAGAGGCCAAAGACAGCCCTCTCTACTTGAAGCGGGCTTTTCCTTTCTTCAGGCCCCCCCCCCCCTACACTCTTAAAACTCTACAAACTTCTTTGTGGTTTTAAGCGTGTACGCAGTGTCGGGAACTGGCAAAAATTCAAGTGTGCACCACCACTAGGCCAGAAGGACGTGCTTCGCCCCGCAGGCTGATACCGAAGAGCCCTCTCTGTGTCGCACCCAAGGGGCGTTCCACAGGGTGCGACAGAGACAGAGCGACTTGAGAGGAGAGTAAGGTCTGCCGTGGGTCTGCCGGCGCCCCGCCTCACCTCCTCCGGCTCCGCTCCGGGCCGCCGCTCCCCCTGCTGGTCACCGTGGTACTTGTAGAGCGCGTTGAGCAGCTTGTCCTCGCCGGGCGTCACCTCCTCGTACGACGAGTAGCTCTTGCTCCCGGACACCTCCTCGCCGTCCTGGACCAGGTCCCGGGCCAGGTCACCGTAGACGCGCGGCGCGGGTGTGGTGAACAAGGGGTACATGGAGGGGAACCGGTGCGACCCAGCGGCCTGCAGGTCGTCCTCGGCGTCCTTGAAGGTGTCGTTGACGGCGTCCTTGGAGGTGTCGTTGACGGCGTTCTCGAAGGTATCATTGACGGCGTCCTTGGAGGTGCCGTCAACGGCGTCCCTGACGTGGCCGACGGTCTTGTTGGAGCTGGTTTCATTTTCGCTGCTGCCGTCTACAATGGTGCACACCACCAGCAACACCACGACCACCACGCGCCGCATGTTTCGGTGAGTTACGCAGTGACGCGGCGACGCGGTGACACAGTGACTCAGTGACGCAGTGACACAGTGACACTGAGCCTGGCGCGTGTCGCGGGTTCAACTGGAAGGCGGCGCCCGGAGTGGTTCTTTTATGGAGTCTGCCGGACCCGGGACTCCGGAGCTCTGCGTCCCTCTGTCTCTCTCGCACTCATGGAGTGTCCCAAATAGGTGTGAGAAAGACAGAGCAAAGAAAGCGACTCTCGGAAGCAGTCCGCTGGAGCAGGGAAGTGAGCCGTGGCGAGGAAGCCCGCCCTCTTTCATGGCGTCGCGGCGTCGCGCCTCGGTGGACTTTCCGCGGCAAAAACGCCCACTAGTGTTGCCGCTCATCAAAGACGACACTTGGCGCTCGCGATTGCGAGTGTCATTAATGACCATTAATGACACACGACTCATGGATGTAAATAATTTGTCTGTACACTCTACAGAGCTGACGAAGAAATTTATACCATGAAATGGCGCGAGCATAATACGAACGCAGTTTCTCCTTGCACTGCGGACGCTATGACAGATCCGTGCTCTGGAGAAATTTTGCATCGTAACATAGCGCTGTACAGCGTAATAGGGTAGTTTCGTGGAGCGTGGCACGGAAGTCAAATGACGCCATCATGGCCGGTTCTTGACCTCTCTCGGGATCTCAAAGTGAAGGCACAGTACTACAAATGGTGAAGAAAAATAAGTTTTACACGATAAGGACGTTAAATTGAGACCGTCATGTTCGACTATCACCTCGTTCTCATTTCAGGTTGAAGCCTTCTCCTTCCAACATAGCGACTGTTGACTTCCGTTCCAGGACCTCTACAGTGTATGCACGGCGTCGTCGGTCCACGATCCTCTGAAACGAACACCCCCTTGAGTGGTTGTCCACGCCACGCCAGTCGCAGACTTTTCCAGAGCGATTGCGGGGGTGACGAAATTATACGCAACAATTGGCATTCCGACTACCCAGCCGGCGGAAGGAAACGAGGGGGGGGGGCGAAGTTGCCGACTCACTTGGCGCTGCCGCGGAGCCCGTCCCGTCTCCGCGAATCGGCTTCGTTGAGCACACTCTGCCAAAATTTTATTCGTCACACTTGATGTCAATTTCAAGCGACTAATTTTCGTCGAACGAAATTAGTCATCAAACCAGTCGATGACATTGTTGTCACATCCTCCTCCTCCAGCGCTGTTAGTTAACAGCTAGGCCTCATCAGACCGTTTTGGCGTTATGGGAGCTTTGGTGAGAATGTTATCAATTCCTGATGAAATTTGTCATTCTTTTCAAGTGTCGGAACTAATGAAATTGGCATTAAGTGACGGGTAATTTTCACTCTGTACCATTGTGCTTCTACAGCGGCGCTCGCATTTAACAAGGACTCTGACCAGTTTTCCACTGCAAGATTCGTAGACCACACAAGCCGGGTCGCCGTGTTTGACTGACTGTGTGCGTTCAGCGGCCGCGAAGGGGAAGCCCTAGCAGGCGTCGCGGTGAGGGCTTTATTTGTCGCGGTTCATTAGACCCTCCCCTGGCTCTTACCTAACCACGCAAGTTTGCGCGACGGACGGTCTCCTCTCCGACGGCGTGGTCCCGTTTGTTCTACAAATCTACGGAGTGGCGTGACTCGAAAATTGCGTTGTATTGTGTGTCAGGCTCGGAGTGTGATTACGCTCGGAGGATGAATGTAGCTCTTCTTGAGACGTGCGGAGGAAAGTCTGTTGAGGTAAGGTTAGGTGTCTTTCTCCTAGGTCAACTCCTTTAGTGTACTCCAATGTGCATCGTGCCTCCGCAGGTGGTTGTAAGGGCAGTGTGAAAATAATGATTGTCTTCGAGTGGCTAGTGTGTAATCAACATTTTTATTCTTCATAAAATATGAGATAACTCTGATCAAAAATGAACCGGCGATTTTGAAACTAAAGGGATGACATACGTCTAAGAAATAATTGAAAATCGGATATCTAGCCGTAACGTAGTCGTTATTCTAATCAATCTTCAAAGCAATACAGTTAAGTAAAATCGACCATCCCCCACCAATCAGTCCGACATGTACACTGTCAAGTAGTGCAAAACGACACACGGCACTCTCAAGTTCTGCGAGACGAGGCGGCAAGTGGTTCCGTCGGGGCACTGTAAGACCAAGTGTGGTGAAGTCCACACTTGTACGGCGGAGCTGTGGAATTTTCAGCATTTGTAAGCAGACCAGTGTTTGAAACCTCCACACTTCCGTGCTCAGAAATGGGGGCTTTGCGAGCGATTACACACTTGAAGTGTGGACACTGTTACCTCCTTACGTCCAAGTACAGAGCATTTCTCCCCACAAGGAAGTGTGAGTAAATCCTCCACACATGGTTTGACAGTGGGATGACAGTTACGAGAGGGACTCAGGAACTCCTAGGACTTAACCACTTGCAGAAACATTGGCCTTGCTCTGGCAGGACTTGGACCTGTGGCTAGACGTCAGGCACAACCCTCTTCTTTCTTTCATTTTTTTTTACTCCAGCGACTCCTTTCCACAACAAAACAAAACAAACCAGCCCAGTGGGCGGTGGACGTGTTTAACAAGAAGTATATTTTACAGAGGGATATGCATAACCTTGACTAAGGTATTTTGAACTGGACTCTACGTATTGAAGAAAGGATTCACGGAGGTATACTTTCTTATTAATTACTTTAGTAACAGTCATAATAATATTATTTAGCATTATTGACTGGCTGATTAAGTACAGCGGAGTTAATTTTCGGCAAACCAATCAACTAGTCCAGAACGGAATCACAAAATTGCCCAATAAAACACACGTGCAAAAACTTTTTTTATTTTTATTTTTGAGAGGAAGCGGTTAGGACAAAACAGGGAAATTGACATCGAAATGGATACACGTTTCCTGAAACAAGAAAGAAATAGAAAGAACGGAATGTGATTCTGTACAGGCTTCCATTATTCAAAACAGGTAGCTCTCCCGGGGTGGTGCCGAGCCAGCCGCCCGGCTTAGCCGCCCGCAGCGCCCAGCCCTCGCCCCCGCCCCGCCCGCAGGGACCGGGCCGAGAGTGCGAGAGAGAAAACAAAACGATTTGGGGCAGCGTGCAGCGCGACACCGCTAGACTGACAGGAAAAGACGCCCGCTCTACAACGACGGCGTGGAAGAGTGACCCGCAACTTCAGAGTTGAAAACGGCGAGAAATCAGAAAAGTGAAGGCTGCTCTACGAACATGAAACTGGTTCAAATCTACTGCTGAACCGAGTGGCTCACGGCGTCCCACCGGTTCTACGCTGCTTCGGTGTCGCCCCGCCCGTCAAGTGAAGGTGTTCGCCCCTCCCGCCCCTCCCCCCACCCCCCGCCGCCTCAGCGCTCCGCGGGGGCGTCGGGGGCGGCGGGGGCGGCGGGGGCGTCGGCGCTGTCCACGCTCCGCTTGCCGATGCCGAAGTTGTACTGCATGCTCCGGCGGCCCAGGCCGAAGCTGTACTGCTGGCGCGGGCCCCTCTTGTCGCTGTACTGGTAGCGCTTGCCCAGCCCGAAGCCGTACTGCTTGGCGCGCGCGGGCCGCACCGCCAACAGCTCCTCGTCGTCCAGCAGGTCCTCCAGGGTGAGCGGGCCGTGCTGCTCGTCGTCGTCGTCCGCCACCACCACTTCCTCGGGCTCCTCGTCAGCGCGCTTGCCCAGGCCGAAGCTGTAGGGCGCGGCGCGCTTGGCCCTCGCCGAGGCCGCGTGCGCCGCGGGCACCGCTGTGGGCAGAATCAACCAGGAGTGTCACAGCTGGGACGAGCGTGAAAAACATTCGTGTTTGAACGAACATGGCGTCACATTCACTCGTGTAAATTTTGTCAGAAAGTCAGAAACATGCCTGAAATCCTGATCAAAATTCACGCACCTCTGAAAGCTGAACTTCTGAACTCTGATCCTAAAATTGATGGCCTGAGTTCTGCAGAATGTCAGAATAAGTTTTCAGCTTTCAGAGGTGCGCGAATTTTGATCAGGGTTTCAGACAGGTTTCTGACGTTGTGACAAGATTTACTCGAATGTGAATAACAGTGGGCTGCACTAATCCCAACTAATCCGTCAAAGGACAGCCAGTCCGTCCTCCGCGGCATGCGTTGTTTCTACCAGTGGTGCAGCAGCAATAAGGGCCAACATAACGTCGCAAAAGTCGTTTTTTCCTCAAATTTGTTTCCATTTTGAGACGTGAATCTCCCCACCCTGGCGGATCATTTGTTCACGAGGGCTTTGTCCCACCGCGATGTGGGCGGCTGTGGCCTCCTCTTTATGAATCCACCTCTCTCTCTGTCTCTCTCTCTCTCTGTCTCTGTCTCTCTCTCTCTCTCTCTCTCTCTCTCTCTCTCTCTCTCTCTTCTCTGTCCTCTCTCTCTCTCTCTCTCTCTCTCTGTTCCATTTCTCTCTGGCATTATTACTTTTGCCCGGCCGTCGGGCCCCAGGCTGCAGGACCACTGCCAGAGCGTCGCGGCGTCGCGGTGGGTAATGTGCCTGCACCGTAAATACAGAGCGCCGCCCACGCCGGAGCGGCCGGAGCGTCCAGAGCGCCACTGAAGCTTCATACCAAGCCACCGCACTGCCTGCTTCGCGAGGGGGTATGCACCCGCGTGATAGTCGGGTCACTCTAATAGCATACGTAATAGTAACGTAGTCGAAATTCTCAAATTTTTACCAATTTTTGAGGATTTTTTGGAGTGTTTTCAGCTAAGTCTCGTTTATTTTAAGGCGTAATAGAGCGGAATAGCGTAATAGTCGGGTCGCAGGTTTTGGAAGTGCATACCTCCTTGTTGCTTCGTACCGCCAGCAACGGCTGTGAGCAGATAGTCAAAACACCACCTTCCAAAGGCGAGAGAGACAGAATCATTCCGCACCAGGAAGTGTCTCCACACTTCTGGCTTGACAGTGGCTTCCGCGAGTAGCGCCGCCAGGCAGTTCTGCGACGATTGCACCAACCTGCGTCGTCCTGGGTCTCGGCCTGGGTCTCGGCGGCCACCTGCCGCAGCTCCTTGTCCGCCACCTCCCGCTTGCCGACCACGCTGGCGACGGCGCTGGCCTCGGTGACGGCGGACTGCGGCTCCTCGCCGTCGGCCTGATCGCTCGACCTGCGCAAACCACGAGGGTCAGTCACCAACATCCGTCTGGACTCGGAATCGACACGCCGTGAGTCCCTGATTCCAGAGGCTGCAGCACGTATGGTGCAATTCAGGCGTCCCACCATTTGTGCAATTAATTAACGCTGCCAATAAAATCCCAATTAAGTCGCACCAGGTCCTGTGCAGCGTGAAGCAGGCACTCCAGATCTCACCCGCTCCCACACATTTTTGACATCATTTGGTAGACCTCCTGAATTCACTCCCTAATTAATGACACACCCATGAGAGATTTACATGGCCGGTCGACTGGAAAGAAAGCATTGATTCGACAATATGAGAAATGAACTGGCTAGTGAGACGGAAGGAAAAGGGAGGGGGGGGGGAATTGCGCAACAGCCTCGCGAGGGCCGCTCGGGGTGAAAACCAACTGACGCGGGGGCGGAAAGGGAACAGCAAGGCAGCGGCACATACACCCAAGCACAATGCGCTCGCGGCTCGCCCCGCCCCGCCCCACCCCGCCACGCCTCGCCACGCCTCGCCACGCCGCACCGCGCCTTGAGAAGCTGCTGTTCCTAACCACCATCTCTCGCACACCACGCTAGAGCGCGAGCCAACGGGGGCAAAACCCATACGGAAACGGGCCACGCCAGGCGCAAAACATACGCCCTCTCCTGTCTCTCTGAATCCACACACACACGCGCACACACAGGCTCACACACACACGGAGGGAGCGAGCGATATCCGCCACGATTATGGCCAGGCATTACCCTTGCGAATTTATACGCGCCACTTTGTTGACTGCGAGAAAAGTTGTCGGCTGGGCGCGCCGCAAGACGTTGATGTGGCGAGGCGGACGAGGCGGGACGAGGCGCGGGTAGCGGGCTGGCAGTGACGGGGCGGTCGGGAGGTTGCCCACACTGTGAATCCAAACGCAGTGAACAGCGAGTACCTCTCGCAACCTGGCAAAGACCGTATGGATCGTACACGGACTGCGCGCAAAATTCTGATGATCTGATCTGCCCTTCTTGCGGTGAGGAGTTTTTGGTCCGACCGAATTTGGCGAGGTTCTTTTTTTTTGTCGGGAGCGGCGCGAAGTCTTGGCTTTGTAGTTCACATTTGAATACCTGAATAACCCCGAGGAGCTTCCTCCTGCTGGCGGGGCAACTCGCAAAGAGTTCCCAACCTGAAGCTTAACAAAGCGCTGACTCGGCTCGAGCCGCCCTCGTTACCGAGGTCTCACAGTGTGCGGCCTCACAGTGTCGCGGCCCGAGAGGGACAGCTAGCCGCAGTCGGCTCTGCCAACTCAAACACGACTCAGGGGCCATACGCCGCGATGCCCCCCCCCCCCCCCGCACACACACGCACACACACACACATCTACTTTCCATCCCGTATGGGATGAATTTCGCAACGGAGCGAAGGATAGAGAGGATATTGAAAGTAGTGACTCTGAACAAAGTGGTCCATTTTAATGAAGATATACTGTTGTCGTCAACAAAAATACCGTGGGGTACACTGACATGGACATCGGGTAAATTGGCCTTACGGTGGAAGGCTGGACCAACGTGGTGCAGATTTTCTATACGATACAAAACTAAATCGACAGTGAGGTTGAATGAAGTTTCGAAGGTAAATATCATAAAGTCAGCTGCGCAACCATAGTAAATAAATATTTAAAAAAAAAAACTTTTCGCCATGCAGAATCTTGACAACAAGACATTCAGAGTGAAGGGAATCCATACAAGACATGCACGAGAAGTTGCGAGACAGAAGGAAAATTGGCTCACCTCTTTCCGAGTCCGAAGGCGTATCTCCGCTCTCCGTTCGGCAGCCGCTTGCCCAGCCCGAACGAGTAGAGCTTGCGGTCGCCGGACCTCTTGCCCAGCCCAAAGTCGTAGGCCCGCCGCTTGCCCAGGCCGAAGCTGTAGGGCTGGGGTGCCCTCTTGCCCAGCCCGAAGTCGTAGGCCCGCCGTTTGCCGAGCCCGAACTCGTAGGTCCTGGCGCGTTTGCCCAGCCCGAAGTCGTATGCCCGCCGTTTGCCGAGCCCGAACTCGTAGGCCCGAGCGCGCTTGCCCAGCCCGAAGTCGTAGGCCCGCCGCTTGCCCAGCCCGAACTCGTACGATCTGCTGCGCTTCTCGGCCTCCAGGGAGTCGTCCAGCTGGTCGTCCGTCAGGGCCGCTTCATCCTGCAACGGCAAACAAACTCGTCATTTTCACCATAATATGAACAATTTCCAACACAATATGGAGAACCTTCAACTTTCTTTTCCAGAAGAGCCCTAACGTGCGTGGCACCACAGAGCTCTCCCTGCGGTGATTGCCGCTTTGCTCACATTTACGAAAAAAGAGAGAGAAAGCAGTTAAAGTAACCCAAGCTTTAAGCCCGCCATGTGGGGCCCAAGGTGAGCGCGCGAGTTCGCCCGGGCGGGGGGCACAGATGGGAGGGCAATGCAATCCTCCTGATCCACTCTGTGTTGTTGTTGCACGGTCCGCACGCCAGTTTTCTATTATACGTGAGTCGCCTCCGCCCCCGCGGCCAGCCGGAGGCCAGCCGGAGGCCAGCCGGAGGGCGTCCGGAGGCCAGCCGGAGGGCGTCCGGAGGCCACCCGGTTGTGCGCGGACGCCGCGGACGCCGCGGGCGCCTTTTGTACGCTGCGTTATCCCTCTGGGGACGTGCGAGGCCCAAATCGAATCGGACTCTCGGCCTCCCTAAGTCGGGTCGTTTTTAGATGCGACAACTACTTTCCGAACCGACAGCCCAGAAAATGGTTTCACACACCACCGTTGAAAAGAGAGGTACACAATTTTTTTTGAAACGACGTCATTGTTTTAGAATACCAGTTTTCTTTACGACTTTTCCGTCGTTCATTTTGATAGCGATTATATTCGTTTTAAAAACAAAGTCGCAAATGAACGGAAAGCTCGCAATAAGGGGAATCGTCCGTACGGCAAAAGTAACGTCTGGTTTGGTATTTCTAGGCAGTTCCCGGAAAATATACCCCTTTTTCTACGGTGGGCCTCGCAATCCCAGGCGTTACCTTTTGCCGTGCGGGCCACAATGGGAGTTTCCGGTCCTGATAACCTTGGAAACATTAACAGATCCTGGAAGAAAACGATTTGCGGCGGCCAATGGAAGATCATCGGGGGAGAATGGCGTCGTTCGGAACACGAAGAGGAAGTTCACATCCATCACGGTGCCATTGGCACGCTCCCAGACGGCAGGGCGGCGCTGCGAGGCGCGCACAATCCGATGGGGTGGCCCCGATTCCCAGAGACATCACTGATTCCCCCCCCCCCCACACACACACACACACTGAGAATCTCAACGCTATGAGTGCAGCAACAATTGGTGCAAGATTTTTTTGCTTACAAAAACCAAGAAAATCAAACATCAAAAGAAACCCTCTTTCTGGGTGTACATATTTAAGGTCCCATATCGAACGAAAGACACTCACAAGGCCCTATCCTTGGCGCGGTTACACTAAGAAATTACTCACATTACCTATTTGGCTGGCTTGTATCACTAGTGTCGCAAACTCTTTGTGATGGGGTGGGGCGGTTTCTTTGGCCGATTATCTTCACACACACACACACACACACACACACACACACACACACACACACAGAGTCACACACTCCGTGGACACATCCCCTGACACACGCGCTGTGCAAGCAAGTCACTTGTACATTTATCATCTCACTTTTTGTCGTTCTCTTCCTCGCTCCTTGCCTCCCTCTCCCTCCCTCCCTCGTCCGTCTGTTGGTTCCTCTGTCGGTGGAGTGCCACAAGCGAGGGGCACGCCTTTAAACGCGCGGCCAGCACATCGACGGCCCCTATTCAAAAGATCTTCTGGGCGCTCCTATTCATTGAATCTTATCTGCAACGCACGTGAATTTCACACGGTAAAATCGGTTCCTGGTTTTCCCAGGAACTCCCTGGAAATCGCCTATGCCTTCACCATTGGCTTCCTGGGAAAACCAGGCTCCGTTTTTACCGTGCACAAAGTTTGACCATTTGGGACGGATAAGAGGGGTAAGCGGAACATGTTTCTACACGTTCTATTAACTCCTTCGATCTTTCATCTTCAAGTTTGTGTGACTACAATCCCAAATTATTTTGATTGTAGCTGCCTCAAATGATGAAACTTGGTGGAAATTCGCTTGCTTTGCAGATAAGATTCTTTGAATAGGAGCGCCCAGATAAGATCTTTTGAATAGGACCCCTCGACATGTCGCACCGTTCGCACCATGTTCTCCTGACAGGCTGTGGGCCGTGGGCCGGGGCGAGGGCCGGGGCGTGGGCCGGGGCGTGGGCCGGGGCGTGGGCAGCAAAGCACAGTGAGTGTGGGCCGCCAGTCCGGATGCTAGTTCCCACTCACCTGGACGGCCCTCATCGTTTTGCAGTGGCGCCGTGATTCACGCACCGAGTGCCCAGCGCACTTCAAACACGGCCCACTGTTGCGCAGCGTTCAGCGATCTCTCTCTCTCTCTCTCTCTCTCTCTCTCTCTCTCTCCCCCTCATGGGAGCGCTCATGGGGTGCGAGAGAGATAGACCGACTGCCGCCCCGCACGGAACCAAGCTACAGACGCAGCCGCCTCGTCACTGCTGCGTGGTCGGAACCATGAAACCAGCTTATCAGCCAGACCGGTCGTGTCTCCGCGGCCGTGGCTGTGGCCGCCCTGGCCGCTCCGGCTTAGCCAAAAGTGCAGAGGGGATGGCACTACACTGTCCCGCGGCGCGGCTGGGCGCGGCGCTCCCCAGCTTTGTGGCTAAACACTTTGCGCAGTGCAACGCACTTAGGCCGAACAGCGTTTCACGGTTATTTTGCTGCGTCTCGGCCGCCTCGCCCCATGGGCCCTGGCAGACCCGGCGGCGCCCCGCAACAAGTGGAGAGAGAGAGAGAGAGAGAGAGAGAGAGAGAGAGAGAGTTTTAGTTTTTACAATTGTTTATTGGGGGGATTTTTGTTTACAATAAGGGCCGGGGGGGGAAAGAGTCAAAAATGTTATAAAAGCATGCCGTTTAAATGTTTCTTGAGGTGTTTTTGAAAAGTGATGAAGTGCAGTGTTTTACAATTTGTTCGAATTTTTATTTTTAAACAGTTAGCAAAGAAGGTTTTTTTTTTTTTTTTTTTTTTTTTTGTTGAAGTTTTTTTTTTTCATTTTCTTGTTGAAGTTTTTCTTTTTCATTTTCTTGTTGAAGTTCTGGCAGATCTAAATGGCGAGCAGGGCACCATTTATCAGAAATGTTTCTATGAAATTTTCTTCAGTTTTATTTATTGATGCATGGTACTCTTCAAGTAGAAGTCTAAATTTTAATCTTCTTTGAAAGATGATGAGATAGTTTGGAGGTGGGGGAGATGGTTCTTTAATTCTTTTCTGGTATGATCTATAGATGGTGCTCTTGGCTAGAGAGAGAAGAATGTTGGCAAGTCTTGTAGCAGGAGTGATTGGGGAGAAGCCAATTAGTGCTTGTTGAAGGTTGAGTGGGCTGGTGCTTTGGGTGATTTGGAGAATTTTTTCTGAGGTGAAAGACCAAAGCGGCTTTGTTGTCTTGCATTTGAAAATCATGTGAATGATGTTTCCTTCTTCTTCCGGGCACCAAGGACAATGGGGAGAATCTATGATATGCCATGCGTTGAATTTCTTCGGGGTGACTAGGGCATTGTGAAGAAGTCTCCAGGAAATGTCAGAATCTTTTCTTTCAATTGGAGAGTGGTAGATGGAGGACCAGTTGAAATTCTTCCTATACCACTGTGACATTCCATTTACTTCAGGTTTTGTTATCAGCGGCTGAAGACATGCTTGGTACAAAATTTTCTTTCCAGCGGGGAAAATCTTTGGGTTGGCTTGGTCTTGAACGGTGAATTGAAATCTCTGTTCTTCAAAATCTGAGTTTTCTTCTTGACTTCCTTTTTTCTTGCTGTTGATGTAGGTTTTGATTTGCTGGTAATTGATGGAGAGTCTTCTTTGGAGTGACAAGGATAAATTTTGGAAGTTTAGATTTTTCCAGTTGTCATTTTCTTCAAGGAGTTGTTGCATCTTCTTGAATCCAGCTTTTTTCCATTCTGGAATTATCCTGAGTTTCTGTCCGTCTATAAATTTGCTTCCACTTAAAGGCATTTCTCTGATTGTTTCCATGGATAATTTTGTAGAAATTGGTCTTGGATTAATGTTGAGCCATGCATTCAGTAAGCTTTGATAAAAATAATTGAGATTGACAAAATAAGTTTCATCTTTTTCATGACTGAAGAAATGTATGGGAGACAATCCTCCATAAAGTGAGAGGTTGTAACGGTGAAAGAGAGAAGATGCATTTTGGGCGGAAAAATTTTCTTGAATCTTGCTGGCCAGGTTGAGGCGGAGAGAATTAATCTTGGCACTGATGTTGATGAGGTCTTGACCGCCTTTTTCAAGAGGAGAGTAGAGATAGTTTGGGTGGAGCCAGTGTTTTCCCTGCCACACAAAGTCAACCATTGCTTTCTGTGTTTCTTCAACAAATGCTGTGGGTGGGTGCAATACATTTAGAACATGGATTAGAAGTGATCCAACAAGTTGGTTGCATATTATTTTCCTTCCCTGGTAGGAAGTGAGTTGGACAAACTGGGACCACTTTTTTAGAGTTCCTTTGACTTTGGTTGTGAGCATGTTCCAATTTCTTTCTTCATAGTTTTTTTCATTTCCAAAATATACTCCCAGAAATTTTTCTCCTTCATTGTTGCATTGCGATTCAAATGGGGACGACGTTCTTGTTTTCCAGCTTCCACAGAAGAGAACGGAGGATTTTGTGTTGTTAAGTTGTCCTCCTGATTGTTGGCTGTAGATTTGAAAAGCTTCTGCTATTGTTTTGAAGTCTTGATCTGAAGTGATGAATAAGTTGATGTCATCCGCAAAGGCAGTGCCTTTTACAGATAAAATGGAGTTGGGGATTTGGTAACCTCTGAAGTGCACTAGGCTGTACAAGTAACGAAGAAAGGGCTCGATTGATATTATGTACAGAGGCCCTGCCAGTGGGTCGCCTTGTCGGACTCCAGTTTCAAAAAAGAAAGGGGCAAGAAGAGTCGAGGTTATCTTGATGTATCCTTGAGTGCCACTTAGAAGTGATATTATTGCATTGCAGAATTTAGGTCCAAATCCATGCAACTTCAGCAAATGATGTAAATATTGGTGAGAGATTTTATTGAAGGC